ATGTACTCACACTCTTAACTCTTGCTGGAGCCTCCTCTTTGGGTAAGTTACATCTAAGTATGGATCTAGAACAACACCAGTTCCAGATGCAAAAGCTGCAGCTTAATCTCCTCTCTGGTCTACAAGCTCAACACAGATTTTCTAAAAGGGACACAAATTAGTATATTTTCCTTCTCTTCTGCTCCTCCCAGATCATAACTTTGTTAGGCTTTTGGAATAGGTTTTAAAATCCGTGTTTGGCATTCTAGGCTCTTTCAGTACTACTTTTTTAGATAGCAATATTATTTAAGATAAATGTCATTACCCAGAATGGCCTAAAGGCCTTCTGTTAACTCAAAAAACCATTCCACAGACCAAACACTGAGTTAAGAGGGTTTGGATCTTTGTTTTGCTTATAGTACTTTCATTCAATTTGTTATGCTTCTGTTCAGCCTAACACCAAGTAAACCTTATTTATGTAAAGTCATGTTTTCAGTTGCCACAAATATATACAACACACTGCAGACAGAACCAACTATACACAACCTCCACTGTTTCTTTTATACTTGTGTCATGCACATATGTACAACCTAATTTCAAACATGAAGCACACAGGGATCCACTGGACTTCTTTAGTAAGATTTAGTAAGGATATTCAGAGTTGAAGCAGTGTCATTGTGCCATCGAGGAGCCTCAGCACAGAGATAACCTCCTCCTCAAGGTGAGCTTTTGTGACAACTCTGCATTGGTCTGCTACTCAACAGTAAAGCTCACAGCCCTTGAGCACTACAAGTGCTCAGCAAAGACAACTAAATGCAAAGAGTACCTAAAATCATAGCCATCTTTTTTCAATTTTGTTTTAAAATCTTGATAATTTTTACCTTGTCTTAATCTTGATGTCTCTGGTGGCAGAATGGAGCCTCAAATACGCAGCTTACATAAGGGCTGAAGTACAAATCACAGTCATGTGGCCAGAAGGGACCTCTGGAGGCCTCTAGACCAAGCCCCTGCCCAAAGCAAGACCAACGCTGATGTTACACCAGATTACTCAGGACCTGGTCCTGCTCAGTTGCGAAAATCTCCACAGATGGGAGATGCCAGAGCCTCTCTGGGTCACTGCTCCAGTGGTCAACTCCATTCCCTCATGCCTGGGTAGCTCATACCTGGGAAGCTCATTTTCCCAACCCTCCCTTTTTATTAGCGTTTGAGTTCAGAGAAGCACTGCTGGATCAGCCAAGCTCTGCCTACTCAAGTTCCAGCTCACCAGATGAGACAGTTTTTGTTCTGTGAGCATGTTCTCTTCAAGTTTCAATGCACCCTCCTGATTTCCATTGTCCCCATCGCATGTTCCTGAGACATCCTGACAAACCAATTTCCCAAACAAGAAAAATTCTCTTCTTTTGAAGCCCAGAATCTTTATTCAACAATTTGTCTTACTTCTCCTGGAGTCTGAATTCCAAGTGCCTGGAGTCACTGATGCCAAGGCTGCCCTTTACCTGCACATTACCTATTTTTGATTCCTTCTTTCTTTGTTTTTGAGCAACAAATCCAGCATCTGGGTCAAAAAAGAATGTTCTTGATGACCCACAAAAATTGTTTGGACTGCTTTTACCCAACTGGGTGCTCCTCCAGATAGCAGAGCAATTTTGTATTCCATACATATGCATACATTCCCGTGCCTACAATTGTGAGCTCCTTGTAGTTATTTAGGGCTTCATCTCCTTCTTCTTCCTGATCAGACAATTTATAAAAGGTGCCTGTACAATGCTCCCCATGCCAGTGTCCCCACCAATTTTGACCCCTCAGCTCTCAGCTGGCTCAGTACTTATTCCAACAAGCAGGGGATAGCCCCAGGCAACACTCCAGGCAACTTCCACTCATCTCCCTGTCTGATTTTCCAAAAAAACCTTGAACCCTCCCACTCGTAATGTGCTGTGCCATCCTGTCCCTGTGATCCCTAAGAGGTCACAGCCCTGCTGCTGTGCAGGTATGTTTAATTCCTCCGGCTTCTCTCCTGAGCTCTATGGGTTGACACACTGTGCTCACATTCCCTTCCTCAGGCAAACAATGGAGCCTCCTGTAACCTGTTGTCCCAGGCAACTCTGTCCACTCCCAGCCTTCCTTCACATGTCTCTCAGGGATTGTCACCATCCACACAGGTTCCTCAATGGTGCAATCTCCTTTACTGTAACCTAGAGCTTAAAACATCAATTATCTATAAAATGAACTTCTCCCTGTTAGCACAGCAGGTTGTGGAAATAACCAGCAAGAATGCACTCTCCACATTCCTTGCAAACCCACAAAATTTCAGGCATCATTCTGTTCAAAAACTCAACTGTGATAATCCAACATCATTTTGGGGAAAAAAAATGTTTTGGCTTTTTGTCTTTGGTTACTATAGGAAGATTATTTTCCTTCTCTGCGTTATTTTCAATAGGAATCAACATGTGCATTCCCATTTGAGGTGCAGCAGTGTAAAACCACTGCCCATCTGCTGTAGAACTAGCAAGCTGTACTGGAGACTCAGATGTTTTGAATTCATTTCCTGAACTGTAATTTGAAGGAGTCTTGCATTCTGCTGCAACTTGCCAAAACTGAAACTTGATGTAGAACTAAATAATTTAAACAGACTAGGAAGAACTCATACTGCTCACAGATTAATTTTTTTTCATTACCTTGGATGGGGCTGCCCAGCCCTGTGATGTCTGTTTCTTCCCTAAGCTGCTGCTCACGTGGGCAGTGAACAGATGCAGAGAGACAGGGCAGGGGATGGAAATCATCCTGTTTATCTGACTGCTTGCAATGCAAAGCAGGACTTATTTTTAAACAGGTAAAATGCTGACTAAAGCTAAATACTAAATGTCTTTTTAAATGTAAAAACAATTGAATAAAATGGGATCACAGACCTGCTTAACAGTTTCTAGTTAGTTCAGCTTCTTGATTACTCTAGAAAGGTACAAGGCAGTACATATTACTGACAATTTTATAGTTTTTTTGGATCAGCATCCACACAGTAGTACAGATATACAACTCCTACCTTAGATCTTTCTCTGTTATTCTCAGATTATCTGAAATGACTGACACATCTACACCTCAGACCTAATTTTAAATAACTTCATCTTGAATAATGATTTCTCAACTTTTTTCAAGCACATAATGCTGCCACAAAGTCAACAACTCAGTTTATTAAGAAAATCTTGGAACAGTTATTATTTAATTATTTATTATTATTACCTGCATTTTCTTTTCTTCTTTTAACTTATTGTCTTTGAAAAACTTATTTTGAGTTGTATTAACAGAAATACAGTTTCTACATCAGAATTTTGTATTGAGGGCTATTTATTTCTGAGTTTTGAGATTTTATGTACTTCTTCTACATAACAGCTTCATGTTATGACTGAATTACCAAAGGGCAACATGATTTACAAATTAAGAATGAGTAACACTGTTTTAAAATACCCCCAAGGGTATGTGGAGTTAATGCAATACACCTGTTTCAAGCCATTTTAAGAACTATTAATCATAGCAAAATACAATTTTCATTAAAAATTAAAATGAAGAAATGCTATGCCTGCAAATAACCCCTCGTGTTAAAGCAATTATGTTCTAGGTAAAACTCTGAATTCATGGTGTGGATTTGACAGTCTGAGCTGTCTTGGCCATATGCAGGCACAAAGGAGCCAAGATTCTGTCCATGTGTAATCAGTACACTTGTATTCCTTGGGTAACATTATTTAGTTCTCACAAGATGAGAAGTACAAAAGTTTCCCTGTTTTTGTATATAACTGCGTATGGTGGGTAGATATACGTTCTGGAGAAGCTCCATCTCCAATAATCTGTGACAAGTAACTTAAAGAATAAAAATTTTCAGCTCCCCTGAAGTTGCTGAAAGGCTAACTGGAATATAAGATAAAAGAATGTAAAGGTATGCACGCAGGATGATAAACACAGCTGGAACCAGTGAAGAAACGGATAAGAAGGCCTACAGTGGGTTTTTAGCATATTTTATATAACAAGAAACAACAGCACATACACAAAGAAAAACTTCAAGGAAATGTCACCTTTAATATTGAAGCATTCAGTGAATACAATCACCAGACAGCCCTCTTAATAAACCTCCGGAACCATAAACTTCCAGTAGGCAGTGAATGCATGTAAACTAGTTCCAGGAAAATGATGTTTATATATTAAATAAGAAACATGTTTTAATGAATGCGTATAGTTATAACGAATAAAAACTCTGTTGTAAAGTCCCACTCCAGACACAGAATAAATAAAGATCTGCTGTGTCCTGCACAAGTAAAGAATGCCTGCTTTCTAATACTTCAAATTGTGTTAGAAAGTTTATTCGAGCCAATTTCGGTATCATCTGACAAGTCCAGCATTTATCAACTTTAAATTTTGCTGCACATTTTTCTTGTAAACATTACGTGCTGCTGTCAGACCCGTGCGATCCCTACTGCAGAATTAGATGCACAGCAATCCAGAGAGAGTGACCTGAAAACCACGGGCGCTGAAGCACTCGGGACTCCACTTTGGGGCAGAAAACCGAGCTCCAGCCTACAGCTCCAAAGCCGGAGCTGACCTGCTCTGCTCTGGGTGAACAAGGCCCCCGGCCGGCACAGCGTCACATCATCCCTGATCTGGGGACGCTGTTTATGGTAACGGAGTCATTCCAGAACCAACACTCCGAACCTGGAGCGGAGCGGTTCTCGGCCCGGTCACCGAGAGAGTCAGAGGTCCTCTGTCAGAGACTGGTTGGGAGGCCTCAACCAGCGGCCCGGGGCCGGTGCGGGTGTCCTCTCAGTCACCGGTGTGTCGGGCACCACGGCTCGGGGGTGACCGTGGTACTGCCCCTCCCGACGGGGCCGCGGATGCTCCGCCGGGCCCGGCTCTCCCCACCTCGTGCCCCGGGCAGTGCGGGCGCCCCAAGCGCTCCGTGAGGGCCGAGCCGCCGCCATCGTCCCACCACACCCCAACCGCCGCTCCGCGGACTCCCCGTCCCGGGCCGCCGCAGTGGGATGGCGTCGGTGCTGCTGGACCTGGTGCACTTGACAACCTGGGCCGTGTGTGCCGTGATCAAGCTGCCGCAGCTGGTGGCGGTGCTGAGGGCCGGCTCGGCGTCGGGACTCAGCCTGAGCAGCCTCCTCATGGAGCTGGCCGGGTAAGGCGGGGGCACACGGGGACAGCGACGGGGACAGCGGCGGGAGCAGCGGCTGGAGCCGCGGATCCCCTCAGCCGGGGGTGCGGGGCTCGGGGCTGCTGCGGCAGCCAGGGATTAATTCCTTCCTCCGCGGCTCAGGTCAGGCGTGAGGGTGCGCTGAGGGGCGGCCTGGGGGGCGGCGAGCACACCCCGCGCCCTCGGATTCTCACCACCCCCTTCGGAGCTCAGGACCAGCCCCGCCAGCTGAGCCCACAGAGCCTTTCGGCAAGGAACTTCCTGTTTTAGTGATTCCGCGCTGTCATTTAAAGGGAAACTCGGCTTTTTTAATTTAGCCCAAACCATCCCGGACCGCGCATGTCCCAGGCATACAGCAGCCGCAGAGGGTGTACGCCTGTGTTTAGGTTATTCAGTGGCCCGTGTGCCCTGTCGGGTAGGAGCTGTACTCGTCAGGCAGGCTTCCCTCACCGGAATCAGTAAGACTTAAGTAATTCCTTAAGAAAATTACAAGCCGTGTCAAACTCCAAAGACTTGTGAGCCTGTAATGAGCTTACATGGTCTAGGCTTATTAAATCTTGCCTAAAGAGGATTGTATGAAACGACAAATAAATAAACGCGGTGTGGGTACAAGTAAGAGAAAATACCTTGAGGAGCCCTGCGTTGTCCGAACCGAGGCGTGGAGGTGGGCAGAACATCCAGCCGGATGGCTGCCAACTCCCCGCGCCGAGCTAGGAAAGGGGGTTTTATTCAGAAAAATCCCTTCACAAAAACGGCGTGGTGTTTCTGAAGGCGCCTGTGCCGTGTCTCTCGGCAGGGCCACAGCTCAGGTTCACAGAAATCTCTCCGAGCAGAATCTGTGCAGAGCTGTGCAGAATCCCTCAGGTTGCACTGTGGCCGCTCCCCGCCCGCCTCTTCAACACTGAGCCTGTTTTTGTGCTGTTCATCCTTAACACACCTCAGAGTAAATGAAGCAAATTGGAGTTCCAGCAGAGATTACTGACCCCACAGCCTCAGCCAAAAAGCGGTGACAGCATTTTAATCATTCGTGTGCGTTGGTGAGCATTAAAAATGCCTTGTAAGTAACGTTTGAGATGAGCATAGAGAAGCTGGAAATGTCTCTTCAGCACTTGTGTGAAAACCACGATACCCACACAACTACAGGTTCTGGTTGTCTTTGAAACATTTATTGTGACTGTATATTCTGTAGACTATTTATCCTTCTACCTTTAAATTTTGAATTTGGTTGCAGGAAGCTGTGTGACTACCAGTACAAGCTGGGCTGGTTCTGTGAAATCAACATAGAGTGATCAGGCAGAGGAGTGACACAGAAACATGGTGCTGGTGGCTAGGAGTCTCATTTGACTCTCTATCAAATAGTCCTTCTAGGAAGTTTGGATATTTTAATTCTGAATACTGTAAAAGACAATTTCTTACAAGTCAGGCTGTTCCTTCTGCCATTTTTTACACCAGCAACCGTATTTTTTTTCTTAGGTAAAACTTCCCTGAGTCCTTTCTCTTTTCTATACAGCTTTGAATTTTCTGTCCAACCCTGTGGACTTGCAGGAGAGTTGGAAGTACAGAATACGTTATAAAAGTTCAGTTCCTTTTAGGTACTGTATTCTGGAATGGCAGGATGGAAAATTGCCGTTGTTTGGTGAACTTAGACTCTTAGTCTGACCAGTATAGCTACACTGGGCCATCTCATAACAGTATAGTCTAGACAGCTTGGAAGACATTTCGAACCCCTATAAAACTTGCTTAATGTATAGATTGAACTACAGACATAAATAAAGAAATCAGAGTTATCCTAGAGATGCCAGGGCTCTTGCAGAGAGAAGGTATCTCCTAGGTCTGGAGGCCTTTCTTTCTCACCAATTGTAATTAATAAAATTATGCCTTATATGAAGACCTCAATGAGAAGTGTGGGCAGCGAGGGTAACAGATTACAGAATGATCAGGCTTGCTCTGTGTGCGTGCCTGTGTTTGTTTGATCAGGTTGACAGCAAGGGCTACATTTACCTGGAGCCTTTTGGCATGACCAAAACAGTATAAAAGTTGTGAAGGCATTTTCATGTCCTTTTGTGCAGTCATGTTGTTTTGTATCTCTCTGTTCAGCCACATTGTGTTTCTGAGGTACCAGATCTACTATGGTTACCCTCTGAAGACATACCTGGAGTATCCCATCATCATTACACAAGGTAATTTTTTTAAGCCATGTTGTGGAAATGAAATGGGGCTCATTCAGCACTCCAAGTCTCTGCATGTAAGTACAGTGCTCCACTGCAGTGATGCTGGAGTTGGGGGGGAAGAGGGAATAAACATCTCATCTAAAACTGAATTCTTTTAAATGTCATTGAAAGAGATGGTCAGGTAGAGGAGAAAAACCTAATTATTACACAGAGTCACAGTGTAAACTCATCCTTTTGTCCAGTGCCTCCACATGGGAGAGAAACATACAAAACACTTCAAACTCTAAGAAAAGCTTAGTTTTGGAGGTCGCAATGTTTTGGTTATCAATCACATTTGAGAGACAAAAGCTGTAAGAAAGGAGTTTCCATAGATCTCATGCCCAATGAAACTGTCTAGGATCGTGTTTGGACCCCTTCAGTCCTTTCTGTGATGAGCCATCTTTTGTTTATTGCAGATGTCATTCTCATTTACTGTATTATGCATTTCAGTGGAAATGCGAAACGCGCTTTGGTCTATGCACTCATGTATCCTTTGAAATAGGAGGTTTGGAGGTTTGGTTTGTGTGGCTTGTTTGGTAGTTCTTGGCATAGCAGCAATGTCATCATTTCTTGTGTGCTACTACTGTAAATCCTTCTCAGGCACCCCTCAATATGTATTCCACATTCACCTTCTGACTTCTGGGTTCGCAGTAAAACCTCTACAAGGAGTAAGCATTATATGTTTGCTCTGCTTTAAAAGACTCCCAACTCAAAAAGAGTAAACAAAATTCTTAATTTACATCTTTGCTACAGGGATCCAGAGAAGAATCGACAGATTATATATATATAAATATATATAATATGTATTTTTTTTATTTTTATTTTTTTATTCCTACACATGCAGGTTGTACTTACTACAATGAAGACAGCAGTGTCTGGGTTTTTTTCTGAATAGGACTTGGGTTTAAATCTCAAATCTTGTGCTTTGGAACAGAGTTTGAGAAACTCCAGACACTATTTGACCAAAGACAATGTGAAAAATAGGAACACTTAGTGTTTCAACTAGTTCTTAATATGTTTTATCTGGATTGTACAGTCTGTTAAAAAGTTTCAATAAGATTATTTCCAGATGTTTAAAAAAATCCTATTCTTCAAGCAGTTTTGAGAATTTGGTATCCTATAATTTTTAGTGCTATGACACTTAACATAGTATAAGATATTGGGGGGGCTGGTACATTCTAACACTGGAGAAGTGGATAATAGACCTGGCTATGGTAAGTGCTACATGATTATCTGAAATTAGATCTTCAAATGAAATTACTTTTTTTGTGGAAGTATTTATTAGTGGACTCTCTCCTACATTTATGTCCTTGGAAGAATTTGTCGTTTAGGTTAGCTGCCAGAATAACCAACCAGTTTGCAGATACAGGTTCTTCTGTGAGTAGCTGGAAAACAGCACTGAAAATAGAGACTCTATGGGGGGGGAAAAGGGTTCTGAGATAAATTGTTACTTGGTGCCTTAAATAAAACCAGCAAATACTTAAAATGTTGAAATTCTACTGCCACTTTAGTCCTAATGTTGTAATCCCAACCAATAAACCTTTAACACAAGAGGAAGAGAATAGAGCATCAAATCATCTGAAACAGGGATTGTGACGTATTTATTTTTTTCCCCTTTAATCAAACAATTTTGCAAGGAAAAAGCCATCTGATAATGCCTGCGAAAGTTAAAGATGGTCTTTATTTAGCAGGAAGGAGAAAGTAAAAACGTAGTTGAGATGAACTGCTAATGCAAAAGATGCTACAAATGGGGAGAAAAGCTCCCAAGCCCTACCCTGATCATCCTTACTTGCAGCAGAAATCCAGGCATGGCACAAAGGCCTCTGTGGAATCCTCTCTACCTGCTGCCTTTGCAAAATCCCCTTTAAAAGGGGGACTGAGTGAATAGTGCATTCCTGTTACTATTTTTTCCCTCCAACTGGGCTAATTTTCCACACATTGTTGTCAGTTTTCTCATTCCTTTATGGTTTGGTTTGCCAGACATAATGGTAACAGATGGTCTGAATCAACCTTGCTGTTTAGACTGTGTCAGTCTCATTTTAGCTGACTTTCATAAACAGCTTTATGGAACAGATTGCGAAGCTTTTTTTTGTTTCTTTGCTTCTTATTATATTTTCCTCTTTCAAGCATTTGTCAACAACAGTAGCAACTGTGGTCTTTGAGCCTCTTGCTGTGAAGTACCTCAGAAAGGAGTGCCTTGTTTCTGGCAACTTCCAGATTTTGCTTCAGTGTTCCTTACTTAAAAGCCAAAGTGCTTGGGTTGCCAAATACTGGAAAAGTGTCAATTTTTTTTTATTCTAAATGAAAAAGCTACCTCTATTCAGATAATTCCATGGCAGAGGCAGAGGTTCTCTCTCTTTTTCACCTGCTTTTCAGAATGTGTGCACGTTCATCAGTGCAGCTAGTAAGCTGGTTCAGCTGCAGCATCTCTGGCAGACCAAAGATTCCGGACAAATGAGCACCCTGACCTGGGGAATGTCTGTATACACTTCTTCAGGTAAGCTAGAGACAACTTGGTGTGAAGTACTGAGTTCTCCTAATGCTTCTTTTCATAGGTCTTTACTCAATCATAGTAGGTAAAGATCTCTTGCCTTAGTTTCCCTCAGTGCTGATGCCTGAGACTCAGATACCACACAGACTCTTGAAAACAAGTTTTATCTTTGACACCTGTGATAAAAACCAATGACTTAAAGTGTGAATATGGCCAAGGAAACCTGAATTGAAATAACTGAAAGGCTGTCTTTATGAGGAAAATTTTTCCATATTACACAATTTAATAAAGTTGATAGTGATCCAGCATGAAAGGTGCTAAAATTTCAGGTATACAGTCAGATAATGCTAATTTTGAAAAGCTGTCTACAAATAAATACACACTTAATGCTAAATACTTTTAATTCTATGGCTACTTGTATTTACATTTCTTGACAGAATTTATTAACAGTCATTTGTGGAGTTCCTGTGGTCTGCATGAACTATTCTACAGTTGTTTGTCAGAAGTGCCTTTCTCATCTTCACAAAACTTAAAATATTCTTAAAATATTCTCACTATGAAACTCACCATCCAGTGATGCTGGATCTATTTCTACATGAAAAAAAGTCAGTAATTAGAAGTTGTGATGTGTTTGGTGAACAATGACAGTAAACTTCATAAATGCTTTTACTCTGCTGCAAGTGTGAAATAATTAACATTTAGGTTCCTTGTGGGAACGGAAGCTGAATTCCTTGTATTTGCAAAGCCTGAAGGCACACAGGAGAACATTCCCAATGGTTAAGTCATTCTAGCCCATCTGTGGGTGTAGCTCACTGTCAGCTACTGAAGGAGGGGCTGAACAGGAAGAAAAGCAGTAAACACACCACATCCAATCTAGCATGACAGATATAAAAATTCTAATTATATCTGTGACATTCTCATTACAAAAGACCCTTAATACATTGTCAGTCAGCTTTGAGAGCTTGATCTCTGAAGCTAAAATAGTGAAGGATGGACACACTAAAAGTGGGAATGTGTACAGAATGTATTTTCATACAAGATTATCTTCTGTTGAAAAATAGATATTTCATACTTTTTTTATAAGTATAAATGTGTCCTATGTGTTCCACTAATCAGAATTCATTCAATTTACAGCAAGAATTATTACAACTGTAATGACTACAAATGATCTTGCAGGTGAGTGAAGTGTGGAATTCTCTGTCTTTCCAAGGGAACAGCTGCCACAGTAGTTTTTAGTTTTTCTGTAAAACACCTAGAAGGTCTCACAAGAACAAACCATGAACGTGATAGGTTAGCATGGTGAGGGCAGGAGTTACACAGGATTACAAATCAGACAAAGACATCAAGAAAAGAAAAAGCCAGAAAACTGCTTACACTTGTCATGTGGTGAAACTGGTCCAAAAGAGTTTTGTTTTTTTAAAAAAGGCAAAAACACTACAAAATTAATCCTTGAAATAGAATAGTAATGTATTAAAAATAATTGCTATTTTAATAAATAAAAAACCATACGAAAATACAACTAAAAAGAACTGCAGTAATTGAATGAGATTTTAAGTAATAAGTATTTCACTTTCTTACTGAAAAAATTTTAATTTGTGAATTAAAAAATTCTTCTAGAAAAGTAAAATTCAGCTTAGTATGTGAACAGTTTCAGGTCCAACATGCAGAAAGTTTATGGCAGGCTGAAAATTAAATGGTAGGCTGATAAGAAACTCAAAAAACTGACTTAAAATACATAATTTGCAGCAAATTATAAAGCAGATTTATTTAACAGCTTCTTACCATTCTGAGAAAACTGCAAGAGCTAGCGAGTGTCACAGATTTTTCAGTAAATTGTTCAAAATCAAGACTTGGTAGATGCAAGAACATTAACAATCCCTTTGTACTTCGTCTGGTGGTTCCTTGTTCTTGTTCAAAACTATTTCATCAGAAACATCATTTGAATGGATTTTGTAATTTTCAAGCAGCCTTTGCAGCTCAATAAAGCTGTAGCTTTGCAAGCATTTCAAGTGGGTTTTCACTGGGAAAGGAAGTCCCATTTTTGGTCCACATTTCCACCCCCATGCTTGCTGCTTTTTCTTTGCCATAGTAAGGAGTTTGTGGGGCTGTGCAGTTAACTGGATCACGAAGGATTTGGCAAAATGCTTATGAAGGGATTTAGTCAAGGTCAGGTACTGAGTCCACGTCAGTCACAGCTACACATTTACACTGAGGGCGAGGGAGAGGTTCACTGTGGGGAAAGAGGAAACGCCAAGAAAGCAAAGCTGGTGCTGGGTAAAGCTGCTGTTTAAAATACAGCACCATCTACTTTGGAACATGGAAGGGTCAGCAGCAAACATTGATGCTGTGCTGCTCTAATAGAAAATGTGTCCAGTTAAGTTGCAACACTGAATGCATCCACTGGTATGAAATAGTCAGATATCACATAGTTCTGAAACAAAGTTTTGTGTATGTTTCTGTGAATATTCTGCCTACCAAATGGACATCAAACATACCTATACTTTAAATACCTTTTCATAGGTAGAGGTACTATGCTGTTACGGTTTTTAAAGCTGAGTTAACCCAGGTACTGAGAAACTGATTTTTTTGTCAGCTGTTAGATTTTCTGTCACTAAAATCTGACAGATACAAGTATTTCCTGTCTTCTCAAAGTCTAAACTTAAGAGATGGCAGTAGAGAGTAGTTCCTTTATTATAAATAACACATGTAACTATAAAGGACATCTGAGCTGTGACTCTGAAGTTAACTTTTGGTGTACATATAGATTTATATAAGGCCTCTCATGTTTGTACTATTCTCCTGGTTACAAAAGAATTAAAAGTACTGTAGTGTGTAATTTTGAGCTATCTCTGTAAGTGATCCAAGTACTAAATGCCTTTTTCTCTTGGATTCCTGCTCAGAATGTGTGGGTTCCTGAACATGGTAATTGAAACTAATTGGCTGGAAACAGTTTCAGAATGTGAACCAGCCTGTCTGAACACCAGCAAAAGTTTACAAACCAGTGTTGTAACAGCAGTTGATTTTTTTTATTTATGCTTACAATATTTTTTTCCCTTTTAGTTCTCATCCGTTTCATAATCATGCTCATTCTCAATATTTGGGTCACAGCTACAATCCTGCACTACAGGAAGACTAAAAAGACTGGTTAGAAGACACTCATCAGTACATATATCATTACCATGAAAAAAATATATAATTAAGCCTAAAGAATTTAAGAATTCCTCAAAGACTGAGGAAGCTGTCTTTCTCTAATATTTGCCCTTTAGCATATTTCTAAGTATTTACAGTACTTACAGACTTACAATGTAGTACATTCATGATTATTTTCTCTTAGAAATAATTCTGATAAGATATTTAATTTAAGCAGCATATTTTTATTGGTCATTTCAGACAAGTTTCACTGATACCACATTTTCTCTGGATTCTTTTTACTACAAGGTATTTCATAATTAGATGTATATATACTCTGGTTTCACTTCATTACTTTCTGGTTACATATAAGCAATTTTCTTCATATACATGATCAATTTTGCACCAACATACTGACTCGTCCTTCTGCTGCAAGACTGAAAAACCACAACAGATGTTTGTCTTCTTCTTGCAAGCAACTCAAGTTAGTTCAGCATTAACTGTCTGTATTTTAGGATGAAGAAAATCTGAGTCAAGGCCCAATCCAGAACAAGATTCTAAATGTCTTTTACTATGTCACAAATCCAGTTGGGATTGTAGCACTTACATGCAACACTTAAATAGTACAATTTATACAGCTGATACAGGATACCCACAGTCACTTTCCTCAGTATACCCAGTATATATCGGCTAAGAGCAAAAACTCAACTATGAATTCTTTTTCAACCTGAGCTCACATTCACTGAACATACTGTTTTGGGAACAGTAGGGACTAGAATGTATGGGAATTAATGAAACTGTAACCAACAGTTAAAAATGCTGTTCAAGCAGAAGTTCCTGGAACCATATCCAGAATTCCCAAACACCATCCTTACTGACAGTGATGTGCACCTTCATGCATCTCAGCAGACTGATCTCCCATCTTGTCAGGTTTTGGTGATACTGCTCTGTGGTTCATGAGGTTTTGGCCTGTCAGTGCTAAGTGTGTTGAAGAACACAGACTTAAACTTTTACTTCAGAAATTCTAATCAATTTGTTGTACTTGAGTAAAAAGGGGGAAAGGATATTCTTGACAACAGGGGATTTTGGAAGTACTGCCTTCACAACCAAAAGTTACATTAGTATTCATATCGCTTGCCTTCATTTCTCATTACATTCCCCAAAATTAAAAGATACATTTCAAAAGAGTTCTTACAGTATTCTGTTGATTCCATGTAAAAAACCAAGGCACCCTTGATCCCAACACCCTTGAAAAATATGGGAAGACTGCATTGACTACATTTGAGGCAGGTTTTCTTCAGAACATTCTAAATTGTGTGACTGCTGTGGAGCAAAGGGATCTGCAAAAGCAGATGGTTCTTCCAGTGTGCACGCAGCAGTTGGAGCAGGGCCTTCTCCATCAGAAAACAGCTGCTTCATACTCTGAATTTTAGTGGGAAGGGCTGGGAAGAGACGTGTCTGTGGTCATTGCTTTCATGTATCCCACATTATTGAGAGCAAGTCAAAGATAAGCTTTTTTTTTTACTGCTCCAATAAAATACATCAATCCTTCTGTGTTGGTTAAAAGATTAATTGTAAACATTCTGATTTTATTAAAGCTGTGTAAAGTATCTGAAGTGGTGTAAATGGTGGCAAGTGTCATATGTTACATTTTCAGGTGATATTAATAAATGCTATTCTTAAAAATTGATAGTGTCATTCTTACAGTTAATTTTCATTGCATTTGAGTTTTTATTGTTGCCATATATGAAGAGAAAATGAAATATTCATTACAAGTCATAAATGGGCAGCTTTCACCTTAACATTTGAAGCATCAGGCTGAATATTGACCTGCCAAATGCTAACAAGCTCCAGCATCTTAAAATGAAAAAAACACACCTGCTTTTTAATTAAAGCCTTTTCTTGATAGAGAAGGATTTGTGTGGAATCCAAACCCTCTCTGTTATTGACATATTTCATTTTCCTGAGGGATGCTGTAGCAAAACGAAGCTGCTCCATTTTTGGTTTGAGAATCAGCACCTCAAGTTGTTTTTTTATCATAAAATACAGAAAATGCATTTAGGAACAGTTCTTAATAGGTTACTTAATGCATTTTGAATAAATCACCTTAGAAACCTGTGGGAAAAAAAGACCGAGGAAAACAAACAAAGCTGGGTACTTAATGAACTTAAGGTAAAGTAATTTTGTGGACTTGGAAAGCTGGACCATGAGTTCTCATTCAAACTGCAAGAGATATGGAACAAATCATAAAGTAGCAGTAAATAATTTTAAACACTTTTCCCCTTCTCAGTAACTTCTTTCACTTTCATAAACAGAGGCACATTCAAGTTCCAGGCAAGCCCCACAAAAGTGCAGACCCTGTGTTTTTCAGGAGGTAAAGAATAATCTTCTCAGTGGCTGGATTAAAGGCAACAGCTTTAGACAAATACATAGACAGGATAAACCTTGTTAAACTCATCATTCACCAGTACCAGGGTGGACACAAGGAGCTTGTTTGATGTGTAATGCAGCAGCGGGGCAAAAGCAAGAGGGGAAAGCATCTTGGATTTATGGCAGAAGGTATAAGCAAATAAGCAGCTCTTACCCACAGGGCTGGAGGTAATCCAACTCCATTCACAGATGCTGTACAAGTGTGGAATTAGACACTCGGTGTCTAATTGTACCAGTTCACAACATGCTCTACAAGGTAACGCAGTCTGGCTGACAAAGTGTGGGTCTTGTTGGGGCTTTCAAAAACTGTGAGTGTCCTTGTCTGTGAAAAGACAAGATCTGAATTCGAGTAGAGTCCACTGAATAACCCCAAATACACCTCCAGCAGTGGATATGATGAACTGTGACTGGATTTGGCAACAGGTAAGCTAGAAGCTCACTACAGCTATATGAGAGAAAAAAACATTTACCATGAGATTTACTATTGAAAGAATGAGGATGTGAGTCCAGAGACAGCAGGCTGCAGGACAGTGAAGATGTGGACACTGGAAGATGTGTATAGTTTATTTTTTCTGGCCTGTCCTCAGTGAACAGAATATTGATCACAAATGCAAAACCATCCTCTCCCCACGCTATGGGTCTCCCTAACACTGGGCTTTCTGTGCAAAGTGGACTCAGATGTCTTTCCTCATGCTGCTCCAATCCAGCAAGGGATGCTATTGCTTGGACTACTCAGGAGTCCCTGTCCCTGCCTGACTCCTGAGCCTCTGTCAGCCTTACACTGTGCACATGGCTGCTGTGGATGCTAGCTCTGCTCTGATCTACTGCAACAGGAGAGAAAGGAGTGGGGTGGGGAGGCAGCGACACCCCCCAACCGCTCCAGATCTAGAGCTGGATTTTAGTACAGTTTGACCCTGGAGAAAGTAATTCAGGATTAGCTGAATGGCCCCAGTTTTATAGAACACCTTCACTCACTTCTTTAAATGAGGTAAAATTACTCTTCCTCCACCAATCATTATCCATTTAGTCACATATGTAATAGGGGGAAAATAAAAAAAAAAAGGAAGTAACAGCTGAGTTCACTCAAGGAACTATTATAAATTAAAAGCTCCACAGATGTGGAGATAACTAAAATGAGGTAGTTTCCCAGTCATGCATTTTTCCTGATGATGAATAATGACTTCCCTACAAATTCTCTTCAGGCTGTTTTTTTCACTCTCTTCCAAATTCTTCCATACTTGAAATTCATATTTATGTATGAAGCGGAACATCAAATGTCACCTTCATCACTAATAATGGTTCAAGGATGTCTCATTTTTTCAAGGTGAAGAAGATGAAAAAAATCTTAAAATAGGATGTTATAAAATTCTTGGTTTGTACTGAATTTAACTGCTTAATTTTGAGCCAGTGTTCTCCAGGACACTTCAGAGTTCTCCATGATGACAGCTGTTGAAGTCAAACAGATGCCTGGGAGCTACAGTGATCATCACTGTAGGAATCTGATAGATCATCACTTGTGATGGATCCAATTGCAAGACCTTGCCAGCCCCGCAGACCTGAGTCCCAATGGACCTCAGGTGTTTCCTGCCTAATGGCAAGACAGATATACAGACATTTTAAATTTAAAGGTGTCAGCTATTCCATTTTACATTGGCAGTAGTTTGGGGCAAACATCTCTGTCTTGGAAAAAAATCCAATCTTTGGGCCGGGGTAAAATAAGAGACTTTTTACATCATAGTTTTGATGAAATTTAATTTGGGATACCTGAAGGACAGTTTAAGTAATTGTCACAATTTTGTTCACACCCTGTTTTGTTTCCTTATTTCATCTTAGCACTGTCTTAAATTGTCAGAAGCCTAAACAGGTACTTCAGTGCATTATATGGTATCGCTGACTCACATGGAGGGAGCTTTAAGAGGCCAGACACTTTGTTTTATCTGTCAAGTATTCTGGAAAATGATGTAAAGGACAGAACCTGCACCAGCCTAAAATGTGACAAGTTAAATTGGCTAATGATGATTCTGATTCAAACTGAGTAGTAACATGGCTCTATGCTGAAAATCAATTCTATTTACCACTTTATGATAATTACAAGTTATTTGTGCACACACCTGCTCTGGAATGTACAAGATTTCTGCTTTGGAATGTGCAGGCTTTGGCCAGCAGTACCAAGATTCATACTATATGAAAATCATAAATGGAAGAACACACATCCTATGCCTCAGTGTTGCCTCTGTTATGTAAATCACGACTCTTTAACGAAGCACTGAGTTTCTGTAAAGCATATTTTAAATAATTACTGGTGAGAAATTATTTCACCTTCAAACAGCTGACTATATACAGATTATGTATACAGAGTAGTCTGACTTTCAAGAGTCTGATTTGTGAGATTTTAATTTATTTTTCCATGAAATGCACTGTCAGAACAACTCATGGACTCTCTGAGCTCAAAGGTATTTTCCTCTCTCAGCATTGCTAGTTTAAGTTAGCACAAATGCCCACCTTCCAGCAATACAATTTGCCTTGCTGTAGCTCAGAGCAGGCAGGGGAGCCTCCCCGCCATGGCTCCTGATTGGACTAAAGGCTACACAGGTCCTACTGAATCTCAGTGGTCCCCAGGACACAGGGATTGTAATATGCTGGAAAACATCACACAGACACATGAGACCATGGAATCCAGCAAGCAGATTCAAGTCCTGAAGTTGCAGCCTGACCTGCACCCAGCTGCAAGACCTGCTCCAAGAGCCCACTGGGAAATGGAACAGTTGAGGTCAGAGACAGCGCAAAGTGAGCTAATATAAAACAGGGCTCAGATGGTGGGGTACCCAGCTCCTTCAGTCTTACAAAGATTAAGGGATTTCGTATTTCAGGTAACTCCAAAAAAAGTTTCTACCAGTTCACTTATTAATAAAAAGTCACACATATTGAAGGCAATTCAGTGGCCAAAGTCTAAGCAGTTGGCGATCCAAAGGAAAAGAGGACTGGCCATGATCTCACAAGCCTGGTGTACTTCTCCCTGGATAGCCATGCTTACTAAGTGGTGCAAGAGCGTCCTGGGCAAAAAACACCCCAAACAGCAATGCCAAATTCCCAGAACTACATGACATGAGGCCCACATCTCTGAACAAACACTGAAAGCCTAGACCTTAAAATAGGGTGGTAGGACCGAAGCATTCCATGCAGTTGTCTTGGCTGTGAAAGCATTTCTGTGCAGCTCCTCCAACAACTAAAGGTTGCAGGGACATGACATTACTGGACTCTGCCCTTTCTTTTCAGGGTGATGATGTGTCTTTCCAGAGTTCTTTTAAGAGATCAGGACTACGTACACTTATAACTGAAATTTTGTGACCTTTCATCATGACTTTCATCTTGAAAGATCACTTTAATCTTGCAGCTTCTACAAGATCATTGGAGCAAAAGCAGCTGCAGTCAAATGCTTCACCTTTGCAATACCAAGTAGAAGAGTGGCTTCCTTACCTTCATAAAACACTGCCTCCTGCCTACAAAGTGGCAAATATTCTGAACACAAATTTTCATTTATAAGAACTGGTAATTAGAATAATTATTTTCTCTACATCCCCACTTTGTGGAGCTATGTTTCTACAGTTACAGCTTTTCCATTCATTGCAGTAGTTTCTGGGGAGAACTGGGCTGGATGTATTTTGAGTGTTCTCTGCCACACACATTTCAGTAGACTTGTCTAATTTTTCAGATGAGAATGTCTGAGTATGTACATACACCTGTCCACTTTTTAGGCAACTACAACATGGAACACAAATTGTAGTTTCAGAACCACTCCATCAACATTCTTTATTGAGATTGAAAAGAAGACTCCTCCCCACCCTCATGAGGGGTACTTCAAAGCAGCAGGCAAACCCTATGATCCTTGGGATTCTGATAGAACCTTAAATGATTCAGAAGATAATCTTAAAAAATAAGAAATAATGTTTTCAATGTAAAGTATATTATGTGCAGAGATAATAATTTGTAAAAAACTGTAATGCACTGAAAAAAGCACCAAGCCTGTCAGAGGTCAAGGAGTGTCAAGATCACACTTTCAGTCATATGGTTTAGTTTTAGGTAGTTCTGTGAGGAGCAGACAGTTGGACTTGATCCTTAAAAGTACCTTCCAACTTGATATATTCTATTACATGAAAAAATAAATTAATCATTATTTTAACATGAATGTCAAAGCAAACTATCCAGGAATGTGGAAGAGACTGAAATACTCCACTGAACTGGACCTTGTACAGTTTGTTCTTCTGCCTCAAAAACAGAGTAAGGAGGTGATTAAGGGTTTGTAAGAGCAATGCAGGTAAGAAGTTTGCTTTCATGTAAGTTCTCCCTTTTCACAGCAGCATCCCAAATATAACCTCACAAGCACAGGATGGGTAAAGGCACTTGGGACCAAAACATATAGACCTCTTCCAAGGATGAATTTCTCAAAGCTAGATGGGAAAATAATACATTGTAAGATTACAAACAGAAATGCTCAAATTCCTAATGACCATTAGAAACCAAAAAGAAACTAAAGAGAAAAAGCACTTAATTTCAATGGCAGCTTCCGTGGCCTTGATGCCTTCAGAGAGCCACTGAATGCCTGGCAAAATTTAGGAGGTTCAGTGTTTTCAAGAGGCACTAAGAGATTTAGACACTTGCAGTGAAATTTCAGTGTTTTTTTAAATTTAGCCCCTGTCACTAATAAGATCCTTGAGCCTCCTGCATGTTTCCAAGTCCTACATCATGCTGTGAGTCTATGTCATGTGTTTGGTTACAGCATCGGCTGTGCTCAGAAGCACAAGAACCACCATAGCTTTCCTCTAGTTAAAAGCAGACGTGGTGCTGGATTGCTGGCAGTGCTGGGAGGGGCTGCACTTCCGCAGGGACCACAAGAGGTCCCTCGGGAATTGCAGCACACAGCTAGGACAGAAGTGGATGTCTCACTGCAGAAAGGTGCAGAAAGGTCTGGCACCTGACAAGATAATTCCAATGGGGTCTGCCTTTCCTGTTCAGGTGAGCTCTTGGATTTGAAACTTATGAGGAAGTTGCCTTGAGCTTCTGGCTCCAAGTTTGTCCCCTGGTTTTTCCAGATTAATCTGCTGGCTATGCCATTTGTTTACTCTTGGTAAGACAAAAGGACTTGCAATAAGAGAATTTTCTATAGGTAAGTCGTTCAGGCCATAAAAATGTCCTGTTTGCTTAGGACAAGCCTGTACAAAAAGTGTTAAAAGGTCACCACTAGACAATAAGGAAACAACACAATCTCCAGGAACTAACATTAAAGAGGTGTTTGCATTTCACAGCTGGATAAGGGAGAAGAAGAGAACAGCAGTTTTGCCTTTTGTGTCCTGGGTATAAAGTGAGGTTTGTGCACCTCAGACCACTGGCCTTGAGGCACCTGTGCTAAGTTTGCTCTGCTCTGAGGCAGAGGGCAGAGCACAGGACCCCCTGTGCTCCCCCTCAGCCCGTGTTGCTCCACGACACCATCTCAGTACAGCCTGCTGTATGTACAGCTAATGACCATTTGTACAAGCACGGAATTTATAAACTGTGGCTAGCAAATACTCTAACATAGTACATTTCCTAAAATGTCAGGCTTAGCAGGGCCCTGTGGATTCACAGAAAATGAGGGCAAGCCAGGGAGAGAAAGTGCAAAGGATCCAGCCCCAGCAGTGGAGGAGCTGCAAAACGGCTCCCTTGGAGTCTGCGCTTCCTCTGCACACAGGCTTTGCTGGGCTGCCTTTGGAGCAGCCCTTGCCTTTCCCATATCTGCTGCAGTAGTTATCTTTTTATTTAAATATTTCCATTTAAAACCAGCTTCTCAAGTTCAGGAACTATTTTACCTTACTCAAATAGTTTATTTAAAAATATATATATATATATATATAATATTCTCCAATTCAGAAAAGGATAGAACTTCCCGCAATGTAACATTTTTTTTTATATATATATAAAATATTTATGCATTCAGTGAATGGAAACAGTTTTACTGTATACATTTTTAATGTTGTACTCTATGCAAATCTGCATTATCTAAAAATATACCGTACTTCTGTAAATCAAAACAAGCAAGGAAAAACCACTGTAGCTGTGCTCTGGGTTATAATACCTAAGAGAAATTATATGAAAGTTTTAGTTTTGAATTTAAGAACTCACAAACAACATTTTACTTTGTGAGTGCATAAATAGAAGACTGAATACATTCTTGCTTTGTTAAGCTGAACTGTAGCAGAGGTTACAAAATGTAAATATATTTATTAATTTTCAGTATTTCAGTGTTTCCAAGTCCACCTTTCATGATAGTGTTAAATAAAACATGGTCCTATCCTTCCAAACATTTCAACACTCTTTAAAAAACAAAAACAAACAAACAAAATTTTAAAGTGAAATGTCCTCCTTCATTGAAGTGTTAGATCATATTTTAAATTACTGCACTCCCACACAATATTTTATATATATATATATTCTAAATATATATATATATTTATATATATATAAAGAGACCAAATAGGAGACTACATTTTTTACTGTCAATATGTTTAACATCACATACTGTAGTTGTATAAAACATGCATTTTCTGGGATAATTATGAACACATCATGAATGAGCCCACATAAATTATATTTTTTGTACAACTCCAAGTTAAAAAAAAGGTCAGATTAAGTGCCTCTGAGGCCCTTTCTTCCCAGCTATCAGTTCTCAAAACACACTACTGAAATATTTATCTATGCCTACAGATATGTGCTAGAGAACCCAATTAAAACTTTAAAATACATCTACAGTATATTTTACTTTTCTTAAAGTTTGTGACAGTCCTCGGATATTGTGTTGTGAAATGTAAAAATAGTCACAGATTCTTTTATTTTCCAGAAATAAAATTAAAAAAAAATCAAAAACACATCTAAGAGAGTATGCAAAAACAAGGCAAAATGAAGTTTCATAGCACTTAATGAGGGTTAATATAAGTCAATAACTAGTATTGAGGTTTGTAAAAAGGGCTGGATGAGCAGTTACATGTACAAGCAAATGGTCTGGTAAATCTCATGCTCTCAGACATTGTTCCTGTAACCAGCACTTCTCCACCCTTAGAACCAGTCAATATACATTCAAAATAGGTTGACACTGATATACTTACGAGGTGTAAAAATAGTGCACTATTTTTTCTGCCACAAAGCAAAACTGCATCCTAAGAGCTGGTAAACTTTCCTTAAATAGAAAGAATGGGCAAAAAAAAGAAACTTGGAAAAAATTTAAATTAAGGCAATTAGACAGGTAAAAGTGGACTGCCCTTGATGACGTAGCTGAAACTAGTATATACTTCAAACCTATACTAGCTGCTGAACACTGACATGCAGCTTCTGATAGATGTGTATGAATGATATAAACTTCAACATTATGGCTTTATACAAGTGCATAGTTGCAACTGCAATAAGTAACGGTATCTGATTAATAAGCATAAAAAAATAAAGTGGAAAGATTTTTAAAACCCTCTTGCAGTATTACAGTACAATATATATACACAGTATAATGGTCACTTCTTACAGATGCAGTCTATATCACTATGGTGGATCTTCCTCCAGTTCACTTGCAGACGTGCTGGTGGCATCTTTACGAAAGCTGAAAAGTCAGTTTCTTCCATTTCAATACTCATTCCTCTCGATCCTTTCATGAAATGTAGTGTATGTGTCTTGCCAAGAAAACTTTTGTGGAACAGAGTTTAAAAGGTTACCTAACACATCATTTGACTATTTACCAACCATTCCTCAACTCATCAGTCACTCGGGAGAATACAGAAAAACCCTCAGAGATTAGTAATTTATATTGCAGCAAAAATGTAAACCTCTGATATATATAGCACAATCTCTCAGGAAAATATATATTTTTAATATATTTTGGGATATGTTTCAGTCTTGTTGTAATGGGAAGAAAATTATCACCTTGACTGTGTCTGCATTCACGGAAAGCAGTTAGCTGAAAAAGAAGCAGGAAGTTTGGTCAGTAAATGCAACAAATGTAAATCTGACAGAAATATGCTTCTTCAAAGTCTTCATTTAATATGGGTTCATCATTGTACTTGTGAGAAGCACCTTTCCCCTGCATCCAACAGCAACATTACTTTGGTATAGCACATCCTTACACACTGTAATCCCAAATCAAAGCCCCTTGCAATACATGAGGGTAAAGTACAATATGCACTGTGTAATAGTTACTTCTAAAGGATTAGTGATCAGTAAGCTTTAATACACAAAGATGCAATATATTTAATTAACATAATGCTCATTACTGTGAACACTAAGCCAGTTAAGTTCTGCAGGAGCTGGTTCCTCAGTTCCCTGAGCACAGAGCTGAGGAGCAGCCCCAGCACCACCCAGCTGTTATACAGCTGAGACACATCTCACACACTGTTTAAAACAATTATTGGGCATTTAACATTTAGGAGGTTTTTTTCTGTATAAATGTAAGATTGCATCAATGTGTGAAATGATCAGATACTGAGGTCTATAAACTAGGTAAAGCTATTTGCAGTATATCCAGAATTAAGCCACGGGACAAATCAGATCACTGCAATGGCTGGATCTTTCTAAAGCGGTCAAGGAAACCACATCACAGAAGCTGCAGACCCGTTTGTTTACAGTTTTCAAACGCGTGGTTAGGTACCCAGAAAGCACAGCACTGCAAAGGAATGCCAAGTCAAATTCACTTCAGAACAGAGGCAAAAAAGCAAAGTGCGGAACTCCAGTGATTTCATGTCTGCTAGCCATAGACCAGTCAGTTTATGTCCAAAGCTTAAAAATGAAAAGTGTTTGTAAATACCAAGTCTATTTAATCTAAACATCCAACTGCTGCCATCTCCCTTTTATTCTTCAAATATTCTCTGCTGAGGTTAGCAGTATTAGCATTAGAGAGGAGCAACAACCCTGGAAAAAGCAGTTTTGGGGTTTTTTTTCAGGCAGGCAGACATGAATTTTGAAAAAGAAATCTAAAATTAGAAAAATAAAAACACTGACAAAGGCAACAACTTTGTTTTAATGAAAATGACTCCTCTAAAAGTTCAATATGAGGAACAGAATCTCATTTTTCTGTTTAAAATATTAAAATGAGATCTTTATATTTTCTCTGCTTTGAGAAGCAAAATCCAACATAGCATGCTGTATTCAAAGGCAAACAAATCCATTCCTCTCTATTTAGATTTACCCCTTATACTTCTTCAGAAATCAAAAACATCGTCATCATCATCATCATCATCACCATCAATATCATCAACATCATCAAAGGACCAATCCCAATCCTTAAATGCCAGATCAAGTAATCTGCAACAGGAGGGTTTGATGTTTAATGAGTGTCACTCTTATATAAAAGACTTGAAAATTCCTTTTGGTATCACTAAACCTTTTTAACTGAAAGACTGTTTAAGGCAGGTGGGTTTGTCCCTTTGCCTGTCATGGGTATGAAGATTCACTTAGTGTTCATGTAACTTAAGAATATTGCATTCATTGCAAATTTGTCTCAAAAATCACTCCATTCAATATAGAACACGTACCACATTGATTTTTTTCGCCTAGAATTTCAGTAGGAAAGACCAAAATGAAATGGTTTTATGCTCTCCTGCTATCTCCTTCCAGACAACAATGCAAGCTTAACAATTTTTCCAATAAAATCAAGATTTTGAGTGCTGAAAAGAACATTGAATAAGATAGCTTCATCTGAATGTACAAACAAATAAAGCAGGATTTTACTTTATCCCAAACACAGGGTAGTTACACCATACAGCTATTCTGTAGCTCATTATTTAAAGTTAAGCAATGCCAAAAAAGAGGATATATCAAATTGTTGTCTAGGCCTCCCTGTCTGTGCTCCTTGTATGGTCACTATAGAACAAAGAAGGCAAGCAAGGCAAACCCTGTCAGCAAATGAGTCATTTTACTTATCTGAGGCATTTATTTTGGGATGGGGTGAATCATTGTCTAGAAGCACTCATCTCTGTCTGTTGTAATACCTTAAGTACTGACTTTTCAACTGCTATAGCTACAATAAATGAAAGCCAGCCTAGTCTTCTGTCCAGTGAGCTGGAAGGATCCTAATTAGCACTGTATGCCCAAGCATAGGATGCAGGCATGGAAACCTTACCCTAAGAGACCATCAATATAAACATGTTACATTGTTTAGTAAAGTCAATCACATGTTTTAAATAAAATGTGTTTCAGGGGAATTTGGATTTTCAGGCTTTAAACTATTTAAACCTTTAAATGTGACAGAGCCCTGAAAAGGCTCAATATTCATTTGTTAATGAACTATGGCTATTACACTTTAAACAATTTATCAGGAAGTAAAATACATTAAAGTTGGCTTTTTTCCAACTTGGAATTATCCATCTGGCATGATCCAGCCAAATGGCTAAGCAGAAATTATATGGTCTGTATGAAAAACTGGTTTGCCCTTAAATCCTCATGAAGAAAAACAGCCATGAAAGCATTGAAGAAACCATCATTGTGTGAAATTCCTAGCAGGGACAGCATTTTTAGGAGCAGGCAGCTTGGAAGAGACCTCAGGAGGTTTCTAGCCCAACCTCCTGCTCAAAGCAGGGGCAGATGCAAAGCCACTGAAGGAAGCTCAAGGCTTTGTCAGGTGTTGAGAGCCTCCAGGGATGAAGACTGTCCAGCCTCTTTGGCCTCCCTCTCTGCACTGACTTTACCCTGCATCCAGACCAGGAGCGTCTCCTGGTTCAAGGGAGCCCCTTGTTTCTCACCCTGCCACCATGCAGCACTGCCGAACCTGGCTCTGTCTCCTGGCCACCCTCCCCACAGGCTGGGGCAGGCTGCTGTGGGAGCCCCTGGACATGTCCATCGTCTGGGCTCAACAAGCCCAGCTCCCTCAGGCGTCTGCTCTGACCATCCTGGTGGCCTCTGCTTGGTCCTTCCCCAGGGTGTTCATGTCTGGCTGGAACTTGGGGGCTCAAAGGTGGAGGCAGTATGGTGCTGCAGACTATGGAGTGAACAGAGGGGTATAATCTCTTCCCTGCCATCCAGCTCCGCTCCTCTTGGTGCAGTCCCAGAGCCTACCTGGCTGCCAGGGCCCACTGCTCAGTCCCTAGATTGAACTGGCAATTACATCTTCATTCTTAATAAAGTTTGTAAAAGAAAATTATTTCATATGGTAAGCTCTTGCACAAAAGCCTCATAGAATCAACACTGACCTATAAATTTACCGTAGCAATTACAGCTATTTATGAGTATGTGGCTTCTAATTAAAGGTGTTTAAATCCATACAAATTTCCAGGTCAGTTTGACCGACCTGCATTAATCTGGTAATAAGCGACATGACCTCACAGAAGTACACTTTTCATCTGTTAGGTACATTTGCAAGGCTAACTTGGAAGCTTAAACTGAAGAATTACATGCTTTACACACAAAAATATTTCTCCTCGTTTTTCCACCAGTATAGAATGGCAAATACTGTACTATGAAAGCATTTTGTACAAAAGCTCAAGACTGAAAAAAGGGCACTGGAAGGAGAAGAATTATTTCCAGAACACCTAAGAATAGCCATTGAAAAAAAATCAGAATTTATAATATGCGTTTACATGTTAACAGCAAGAAACAGAGTACCACCACTAAGACTGCAAACAGTATGCAGAAGAAAAGTAATCTACCTGTCCCCCAAATTGTCACGAATGTTTTCTTGATTCATGCTTTCATTCCTATCACTGATGTTTTGGTTATTTTTGCACTAAGAAACTCTTCAATAGTTGTTCCCTAAAAAGTGATTTTAAAGCTTTTTTCCTTCATGATTATAATAAATCTATTAATTTAAATTCCAGATTATGATTTGGATCAAATCTGATTCTCTTTTAAATATGTAAATTAAATCACCAAAAATTAGACTGTTTGAAGGCTGAGAGGGAAGTGCAATTAAATTACTCTAGGTCCTTCCACTATGCATTTCCACCCATTAAAATCCCAGCATCTGTTGGAGATTTAACTCTTCATAGCATAAGGATGTTTCGTGGTAATAGCAACATCAGAGCAAGAGCGTGCTTCCCTGCATTCCCCACTGTAACTCTGGACACTCACCCAGCCCAGGTCTCACCAAGCCAGCTGAGATACTGGTGCCAATCTGGTCACAGAAAAAAGGACAGCAATCCTGTCTAGGCACTGCCTAATTACCTCTCTGGGGAAAAATGTTAAGCCTTTGCTAAACTGGAATACTGCAAGGAACAAAGTAAGTCAGACAAACCTTTTCACAGGCTGCCAGCACTGGGAACTGACAGAAGCAAACATAACCTAGTACTGCAGGTAATGAAAAAAGCAAATGGGAAAAAAAGCAGAAACTCTGCACTGCACAATCATATAAATGCTACCTGCAGAATGCTATCAACTTCCACAGCACAACACATAGGATTCTGCTCCTTAGAAGTGATCCAGTCATAAATGAACAATTTTTGTATGGACAATTTTTAGCAAATCAGAAGAATCTGGTATGACTATTCTTTCAGGAATCCTGAGACATTAGCATGAGTCCTTCTACCCCAAATAAGGAACTGAAACCAATTGTAGTAAAACATGTAAAACAATAAATTAAACAGCAGCTCTTGTGTCACCTTGGTTTGTTTGGAGGAAGCTGTCGACTTGGTCGTCTGATGGACTGGTTTGGCTGTACCTTCATGGAAGTTCTAGGAGAAGATCGAGCAAAGGGGTCTGGTGCTGGAGGCTTCTTGGGTATTTTTTTCACCAGTCGGCTCACCCATTTTTGCTGTTCTTCTGTAGAATTAGCTAACAGTAGCAGATTCTTCGCAGTAGAAATATCATAGTACACTGTAATAAGATTTAAAAAATAAAAATTATTATTCTTATTATTCTAAACATGGCCTCACATCAAAAATTAGCTGCCAGATTAGCATATTCTCGTAGTTGGTGCAGAGAAATCAGCAGGGAGGTCAAAAGCAAAAGGAACCAGTAGGTTTCCTGGCTGCTCACAGTACCTCCTCCTTATATTTAGAGAGTAACAGCTTAGTACTGTGGAAGATACACATTCACATGGGAGAAAACACGGGTAATACAAAGAGGTGTGACTGAGACTAAGAAATTATATACCACTGTGTCACAAGGAGCAACCTTCACCAAATGTAATCCCTTCCACAGCACTGTTGTTTCCCACAGCAAAGCAAAGCACACAGTGTGAGCACTTTACAGCCACCACGCTCCGCTGCAGGTGGATGACTACACAAAAGGTACACGCACATCACAGCCCCGCGCCATGAGCTCAAAGCAGAGTGACCCGCATGGAGACACCCTCGGGTCTGATGGGGCTGATGGCCATGTAATAAAAGACAAACCAACCTTTATATTTAGTTGGGGTTAGATCATTACTAGAATCCTCTGATATTAGGATGCCACTTGACTCCAGCACTATCTGCATATTCAAATACTTGCTATTTACCTTTGCAAGGCGCTATAATCTCTTCTTTTTTATCCATGTGATCTTTGTGACATTTGATATGGCAGCGGCGACATTCCAGAGCAGGAGGAGGTTTAAACATGTGCCACAAGGGCTTCATACAAGCTTCACAATTGGTTGGAAAGTGGTAAAGAGTAGGTATAAACTCATGTCCTTTGTGACAAATGTAATTTGACTTCTCTCCCATGGGCTCCACAGGAAATTCCTGTTCCTTTTTGCTCTCTCCTTCATTAGCATATAGGATCTAGAATGAATGCAAAATAATCTCAGTACTCCTAGATGACAAATAAAAATTCAGAGTCATTATCTTAGTACAAAGACTGAAGTAGTACACTAGGAACGATTTTTCAATGATCTTTAGTAAATATTTCATTAGACAATATTTTTGACAATGTCTGAAATGCCATGTCTGTTATACTAGAAACATTAATTTAATAATGAATACCTGGAATATCCTAGGAATTTCCTTGGAATCTGCTCTGTACACATCAGTCTGAGTGACTGGTCGGACATGGAAGAGTTTGCTATAGGAAATTGTTTCAATAAGGACAAAAATTATTGTTACCACAATGATAAATGTGACAGGTCAAGTTAGGATACAACATACCACATTAAGACTTAGAGTCATTAAAGATTTGTCAAATTTGTACAGATTTCTAATCACTTGATAAAGCCCTGTCTTTCAACCCTGCACATGAACTCCCAAAAACCTTTAATAAAAAGAAATATATATATATATACACAGATATATTTGCAGAAGCACTGAGAAACCATCATCATCATGTGACTTTAATGGCTGCTGGCACCTTTCTAACACAATCCTGTCCCCATGCTCTGAATAGCCACATTCTGCTATTTATTAAGAAAATAAATTAACTATATAACCCATCTGTAAGGCCACGTTGTAAGAGAAAATATATGAACACTGAAAATGATATCTGCTGTTACAGTTTTCTTTGCGTGCTTTGCTCCCAAGTGTGTGTGAGGAAGGTCTGTCTGAGCTAGTGGGTGCAGTTCAGTTAGACCAGGGCTCAGTGCAGCTCCCTAGATCAGTCTGAGCACCACACTGCTCCTCCGGCACCAGTGCCTACAGCAAACCCCACTCATCACCACAGTGGGTACCCAAGGGTCCAACTCTATAGTTGAGATTAAAAAAAGTCACGTCCCATGTGATGTTGTGCTCCCAGACTGGACCTCAAAAGGCCCTTTGGTCAGAGATCTTTCCAACAGAGTTCACCTACAAATCAGAAGAAGGAAACACACGTGGCAATACTTACTCTATATCCAATACCATATGGGGATTAGACTGTTCTTTATCTTGTTCGCTGTCATAGAACAGGATCTTCTTGCTGCTTACAATTACATACTGTTAGGAGACAAAAGGATAAAGCATGTTTTAATCCAGCTTATCAGAGATGTCAAATATGTCACAGCAATTATCTATCACATTATCTATCATATGTTGTAGCAATATTTTTCTACAATTTGATTAAATGGTACCTAAGTGGACAATGGTAGTACTGTATACTAAGTCCATGCCAAGGAATTAATTGCATAACAAATAAAATTCTGATTACTGACAAATCAAGTTATATTATCAGATTACTGATTTTTAAACATACATTAGTATCTATGAAGAAACAAAAATAAAAGTCAGGAAGAAAATAGGATATAAGCTTTTCCTTCCTATTTTATTGATTTAATTTTCACTTTTGAAAGTGAAAGGACTGGTAGAGAGAGTAACAGTCATCCTCTGCCTATTTCATGTGTGCAGGTCATACCTAATAGGGATCATACTTAAAGAGATCACTATTATACTTACCAGAATAGCTATCAATGTTCACTAAAAAGCTAATTACCTAAAAGATGTCCTACTTCAAGAATTTTGCCTAGAATTAACTGTATGACAGCAGTAAGGAAATTTGCATGTAAATATGTATTGTTACATTTTGGACAAATACTCATGAAAGAGGTTACTGAGAAGCAGTAAACGAAGGCTGCACAAGGCAGGAGGAGTAGGTTTTAGTCTTATCTCGTAAATAAAGAAATTGTCAAGAGCACCTGTTTCCAGACTCTGCCTAATTCCAGCTATGTCAAACTGCTGGGAATGCTTATAGCATGTATAAACATTTGTAGATCATGAATGAATGTTCTCACTTCTGGCTATACAAAGAGGTGTCTTAAGCTACTGTAGTTGTCTTAAGCTGCTTCTCTCAGATGTAGCTATACTAGCTAACATATTTTATGTGTTTAAGTAATGAGAATCATGTATCAAAGAAAAACTGAAGTGCTGAAAACTTACATTAAGCTTAAAGTTGAACCTATGCATCAAAAACATAAATCTGGTTTTCTTACCTTTTTAACCCATCCAAATTTTTTTGTGTTATTTCTAACAGGCATTGATAGCCAGCCTTCCAATCTTGATTCTGAAAAAAGAGATAAGTATTAAAGAACAGACAAAACATTATTTTTGGGACTACTGTGCATTTCAAAAGTTATTGAACATCAATAATAAAGCAGGAGAGCAAACATGGGAAGATGAACTATTTACCAGTATGAGATCTTGCCAAGTTTACCATGGTAAATGCTCAGGAATACATTAAATAATGTACCCCTGAGTATAGCCAATAACCAGCAATGCAATCACAAAAAAGTAGGAGACAGAAGGAGGAAGGGGAAGAACAAACTTGCAAATATAGCACACGCATTCCCTTTAGTAATTTTTTCAAGTCTTGAAAGCCTTATATCTATTAACCTTTACCTTTTACAACAGCACCTGAAGATATTAGTACAAACCACACATCCAATCCAAGACCAAAAAAAAGACAAATTACCACCACAAATAACCTATATACCCTATATGCTGGGGAAAATGTCAGTTTAGTATACCAATTCATACTTTTTGGTCTGTATATTTTTCTTTTCTCTAATTCTGCCTGCATCTCCAAGGCTTTCCAATCCAAAATAAGTAATTTCTGGTTAACCCTTAGGCCTTGCCTGAATACATCTGCCCTTTCACACACTTGCAGTATTTTATATAACACTGGCACATTTGTCAGATTTGATTTATCAAGAGTATTTAGAGCTCAGCTGTTGTTTGGCACACACATTTCAGTAGTCACCAGGAGGATCACACTTTCCCAGTGCTTGGTAATACATGGGATCGCATACCCTTTGACCCTATTTTTGTAGCTGCACTTAACACAAGTGTTTCTTCCCCCCATGTGTTATTAAGGGGAACTATTTAATTGCAGTAATATTTTCCTAATAAATTTCCTACACTAGCAGATAACCTCTACTGCTGCTGAGGGACCTCCAACTCAGAAATAGCGAAGTGTTAAGCATTAACAAACACAAAACCATGGAAAAAGCAGAAACATACTCCAAAATTACAAAAACTATTTTCCTTCTCATCAGAGGGCATTTGCAGGTTCCTGCCTATGTTTAACACAGTGTAACAAATAATTACTAGATATTCATAGAATTCTTTTAGGGTCTAGAGAGACTTAAAGCAAGATACACAGATACACAGTGTCTTCAACATTTATGGCCCTACCAGCAATGCTGTTGGTGACCTACTTTAATATACACATCAAGTACATTATGTACTTTTTGTACACATTTGTACATTTTGTAATGTGTTTTGCCTCATAGCTGCCACCTTATATTGTTCCTCTCAACTACACCTCATGGAAAGTGTAGGAAGCACAATGTTACTGCAAAAAAATAGTCTATGCCATATCCAGGAAGCACATGTAGGGCACAAAATATGCATGTTTCTCCTATTTCCTAATATATGATTTTCCTATTTTTCTCTGTAACCTGTAATACAGATTAAATTGGACAAAATGAGAGCTTTTGATTATACTTTTTCACTTCTGGTGTCCATTCAATACTAACAGATCAGAAAAAGGACAGAATATTCCAAACTTCTCACAATACATGTTTATAAACACTAGGAGGGGAAAAACAATGGAAGACACTATCCTACCTCAAATCTTTTAAAATTATGTCAGAAAAAAATCCCAGCTTAGCTATGATTTTTACTTTAGAACAAAGCAAATCCATGCACATACCAGAACAGCAGCTAGCAAGGAAAAAAATATGTATGTATGTATGTATGTATGTATGTATGTATGTAGACTTTATTTCACTGGAAGCTTCAGAACAAAAACCAGAGGATGAGGAAAATAGAGGAAATGCATTATTCTTTACTCTAGAGTTTGATGAAATAATGTCAAAATGCCAAAAGAGGTTGTACATTCAGAGGAAAGGTATTTACACTTGAAAGGAACCTCGTGAAATAGAGTAAGTGGAATGCAATAAAAAAACCCACCTCTAACATGAACATGAAACAGAAGCTTTGTTAAAAGGGTGTATGTATAGTCATATCAAATGAACACAGAATTAGTAAAACAGGGCCTTATCACTCATAATATACTTTTAAGGCAAAACATTGTAATTCTCAGGACTGTAGAATGAATTTCTACAAGAAAATCACATATGTTTAGATGTGAGGAGTAAGATGTTTCCACACTTCACTTAAACACAAAGATTTGATTTCTTGCTATCCAGCACCTTAGGGTCATACAGAGAGCTGCAGACACTGTGTAGGGGCTATCTTGAAAACAAGCCATAAGGCTCATTTATTCAATGTCTCAATAAAAATGGTGGGTTTATAACTGTCAGCAAGCATTTGCAAGCATTTAGAGAAAACAGGCCAGTTACTTGTTCATGCAAACTTTCTCATGTATTTGACAGTAATATTTACTGCTGCTGCAGTGTGTAATCTGCCAGATTTGGTTTATGCTTCTTTAATTATGCATTAATAGTGTTAGTTTTGAAACAGAGAAAACGACACAAGAAGAACAAAACCAAATGGTTCTTAGGGATGTCACCTGCGCTATCAACTTCTGTAGGGCTGTGGGAACAAGACAAAGGTTCTTCCTCTGAGTCAGAATCGGAATCAAGAAGCATGCGAGAACTGGAAGGCTTAGTGGCAATACTGACAGAGGTAGAAGAGTGCTGATAGGTAAAGGACATGGATTCCATAGTGTGAGACTGAGTGATACGGACTAAACATAAAGCATAAAGGAGGAAAAGTAGAAAAGAAGTCAAAACAGAATCTCTAAGAGATTATTAGTTTTACATTTCATCAGATACACACAGTAATTGTAAAGTAGCCTCTAAAATATAGTGAAAAATATTTAGTTCTAATGGAGCAAAATAGAATTAAAAAAAAATCTTTAAATAAATGTAAGGTGAAGTATTACAACAGACAGATCTAACTAGCATGTAAACAAGTGATCACTATCAATGGATCGATAAGATGGTAGAAATAGATGAAGATGTAAATCACAGAATCATCAGACCATCAATTTAATACTCCAGTTTCTATGGAAAAACACTGGTATAAACCCAGTTAATGAAGAAATACTGATAAAATTTACATACCAGGGAATCCATCATCTGCCTCAGCTTCTCCAGGTCCACTGCCTATGCTACTGCTGTCCAGCCCAATGTGCAGTGACTGCAGCTGGGAACGAAGCTGTTCAATGTCACTGTCTTTGCTGTCCAGAGTCATCTGCAGTTCAATCCGTATCTGACTCTCTTCTGCTATTTGCTGCAGGGATAAATTGCAAGATTTCCTATTATCACAATATTTGGTTACTCAGAGAAAATTATGCAGAATTCATAGCCAATCTCATTATACATTCTGTGTATTTCTTTTGGTTGGGGAAAATTCAGAAATGGAGACTGGATACTCTACCTTAAAGTTTGCATCAATAGTGTGATTTTACAGGAAATACTGCAATGTTTATATTTACAAAAGGATCTTACTGCCTGCATTTCATTTATTTCCTTCTGATATTTGATCATCATCTGGGTTAACTTTTCTCGTTCAGACTTCAGTTCCATATGCAGCTTCCTATTTTCCTTTTCCTTCCGCCGTACATCAGTGTCAGCTCCACGTTTGACTGGACCCTTGCGATTCATGATTTCAGCCAATTTATTCACAGCCTTCCCATAGGAAGAAAGAAGTGACAAGACCAACACTAATAAATACACAGTTATGTTGTGAAGAAATAAAGTCTTCTCTCTGTCTATAACCAGGCACTTCTAACTATAAACTAAGACCTCTGCAATCCAGTACTAGAAGCTTGCTTTAATCCAACGTATTACACAAAATATAAAAGAAGGTAATGATGCCATTTTTACTTGAAGCAAGCATTAGCTGTGTGAGCACTTTCACTCATTTAAATAATCCCTTCAATTTTCATTAGCTAGACCCAAAATATGTCTTTGTTTTAAAATGACACTTGTTCTAAAAAACAATCTAGATTAAAATCAGAAATTTACTTCTTTATACAGAGGAAAAGACTGAGTAGAGGAAAGCCTGAAACCAGTAATATATCAAATAATTTGACAGAAATGAAGGCTTTTGCTAGTGGAATACATCTGGATTAGAAGTTCCTCTATTACAAATCATAAGGATCCATTTTCACTACACTGTAAGCCTACTTAGAAGAAGGAAGAAAAAAACCCATATATTTTCTTTCAGAGCAAAAAGAAATAAAGCCTTACTAGTACATATCTATAGTTTATAATGGAAAGTATTATATTAAAAAATTATTTGATTCATGAACACTGTGTCTACATGTATTTGAATATATTTGCTTACCTGGGTTTTTAATGTTCTTTCATTCAACAGCTGTTTCTCAAATTGTGCTTTAATATTTCCTACATTTGCTTCTTCTTCTTTCAGCTTTGTAATTTCTGTAGCAAGGTAATTGAAAGAAAATCTATGAAAACTCATTACAAACAAATATAGTACTATAAAAGAACAATTAAGGGTTCTAAGGTTTCAATTTAAGGGTTCTAGTTTCAATTTAAATCACATTTCAGAGATTACGTACGTTCTTGTGCTTCCTTCAGTTTATTGTTTAGCTCCTCTTTCTCATTAGCAAGATTAGCCACATCACTAGTTAGTGTCCTATTTGCTTCCTCCAACTAAAAAAAAAAGACATGTGACCATGTAACAAAACTCACGTGGCAAATGAAAAAGCATTAAAGGACAGAAGGAAGTGCTGCAGAGTGAGACCAGGATAAGAGGACTTGCTGTAAGAGGGGTAGGGGCACAGAAGAAAGAATGGTCAGAGAAACGCATGGAAGAAACACAATAAGAGATTCTTGAATTTCAATCATAAGAAATAAATATTTTTAAAACATTAGATATACTCATCTATCTTTAAAGCTGCTAAAGATCAATGGATAACTCAAACTGCAAATAAAGCTCATGTACAACTACTACCAAAATTACAGGTCATGTAACTCACCGAGGCTATGGTGGCATCTTTCTCAGTAAGTTCCTGTTTATGCCTCGCCATCATCTCTTTAATCTCCAACTCTTTCATAATCTTCTCTTTTTCCAAATCAGAGTACTGCTCCTCAGCAATGGAACGGGCAAGTTGTTCTGAATCTGCTTTTGTCAAAGTGATCTCTAGCTGAGCAGCCAAGGAATCTCTGCAAATTATTGATATATACTTTTAACTTCAAAATGGGTAGGTTAGGGAGGGGAGGAAAGAAAACAGCAAAAAACCATCCTGATCTTTTATGTATTAGTAGCCCAACTAGCAAAACCTACCTCTCATCCTGTAACTCTTGTATCTTTTGCTGCATTTCTTTACAAATTTTGGTCTTTTCCTCACATTCTTCTTTAAGTTCTCGAACTTGTGTCTTATAGAGAGTCTAGAATTTAAAGTTGGAAAGAAAATTATGTGATTTCTATACTATTGAAGGTCCACAAAAATTATACAAGTTGACATGGTATGCAGTTCCTTAATCACATTAATTGGAGTATAATTGTGCAATGCCTTCTCTATATTTATCTAAATGTCATCATCCTCACTCACAAATGTGCTTTGGTTATTTTACTTTGTTGTTGTTCCTTTTTTAACTTGTATATTTGTGGATGGTAGATGTACGATATACATTTTCTATGTTGGTATACATACTGTTGAAGATACTCCAAATGTGAAAATCACTATTTCATACAAAATCAGAAGTATCAGAAGCAGAGAAAATAATTTCTTTATCTATTGTAAATGCATGTGGAGTTTAGATTCTAGTAATATAAATCCATGAAACCAACATGACAGTTAACTAAAAGAAATACAGGAATAAGAGAAAAACCAATTAGAAAATAATTTGAAATTCAAAATTTCATGGAATCAATATAAATCTAAAACTCTGAAGGAAATTAAAATGACTGACTACAAGTCAAGTGACAGACAACTCTAAGTGTACTTACAGCAGGGATTTCAGGACAGATTGTCTCTCTCTGGCCCATCTACAGCAGTAAACTGACCTCAATTCTCCCTTTCTTTCCTATAATGTGTATAACATTTTCATCTATAAAACTTTAGGTAGGCCTTCTCCTCACAGACCTAAATCCACAAGGAAATCTTAATTTTCCATTAATACTGAAACAAACCTTTTGGCATCTCCTGCAGTGCAACTGGCTGTGCACTGTTAATAAAAATTAACCTCCACATGCCAGTGATTATTTTTAAGTATTTATTCTGGTTCACCATACAACAATAAATGAAAAGCTCCCAACAGACACTACCAAGTTTGGTCGTAATGCAAAATTTCCTTCTGAGCTGTAGATGCACATGTTTTGTCACATCATGTGAGAATACAGCTCTTCTCTACCAGACAGCATGGAAGAGATGCTGAATGCCAAAGGCTTGAAACATGCAGAGATTATTCACAGGGTGGGAAAATGAGCTGCCTGACTCCTCCCTCTGAACTTCCCTACAAAGCTGGGACATTTCTCAACATGAGCTTTTTGTGCTGCCCAGTGATCAAGATCAAGGCAGCAGACAACACTGGAGACAGCCACAAGAAAAACAAGTAGCTTTGGGTTAGACATGTGAAACATCTGATGGCTCAGGGGGAAGAAGAAAAGCTAACATACTCAGTAAACAGATTAATATTAAAATAAAGCAGCATAAAACATACTGAAAAATATTGTTCAGCTTCGAGCTGGTCTTGAAGCTCTTTCATTTGTCCATCTGCATCTTGACGTTCCCTAGAAAGGAAAAAAATGATTTAGAGATATGAAGATATTCCAAAGCAGTAAACAGAAAAGACAGCATTCACACCCTTGACATTTCCAGCAATTTATTGACCTAAGTATCATCAGCTATTAAACCTGAAGCTTCCTCTGGGTATCAGCTCTCTTTTTCACTTGTACAGCTGAGAATACTGCAGTAATAAGTCAGTTTAATACTGCTAACACACTAACTACAACAGTGTCACAAAGTTTAACCAGTAAGAAACACTGATAAAGTAAACAGCACCAACAGAATCTTATTTCCATGTAAAATGTCACTGATCTGACTGGTTGTTTTGGGTCTCTTGTTTGCTAGTTCACAGTCTGTGAATGGCTGTATTCCTTGACATGCATATTTTCTTGAATTCATCTGTTATTTAAACAACAGTCAGCTCCTTAACAACAGAAATGTAGCAGAAAGTACTTCTGTCAGTGTTCCACATTATGGCTACCTTCTACATGACTAAATACATCTTGCTGACAGAAAAGCAAAGCACAGGGAGACAAAGTCATAAAGGAGCTAGGATTGAGATTCATCTGATACTAATGGTAATCTGGTCTTTTTATTCACAAGGAAGTTCTTTATGTAAAAAAAAAAAAAAAAGTTTCTTTCCTTACTTACTATCAGGTGCAAATACTGTTTCTGCTTGTAAGACCTTGAAGAGCTCCTATCTAGCTAGACTCCTACCTAAAGGTCCTACAGAAGTGTTTAAAGATCTGTACTACTAGATATTTCCAAATGGTTATGCTTCGTAGCTCTGTAGCAGTATTAATTTCCAACTCTGATAAACTCCCATAGACTAATAATTCCAGTAACTTTCCTCTTCATTGAAGTCCTACATCATTAAAAAAAGTACCTAGACCTTCAGTTAAATAAGTGTTTCTTTGAAGTTTTCAGACTTATATTCAAGCTGTGTTTTCTAAGATTTTCAGAATAACAAACATCTTTTAATACAAACCTATACATTGCTGAATTACTAGGGCAAGTCTCAATTAGAGTCACTGTAAATTATTTTAAAGAACAATTAAGTTTTGCACTGTAGAATAGCATATTCTTTGCAGCAATTATTTAAAATTAATTTTACTCCCAACTTTTGTTCCAAAAATATTTCAAAATCAGTAACATGACTAAAACACATAGAACAACTTGCATACTTGCGGAGTTCATTGTTTTGTTTTTCCAGACTTAATTTGATTTCCTGAAGGTGGTTATTCTCCTGTTTTAACTGCTTCTCTGACATTTTCAAAGTGTTGACCTGCTGTGTTTGCATCTTGAGGTCATTTTGAGTGAGACAGCGTTTTTGTGTTTCTTGCTCTATTTTTAATGTCAAGTTTTTTACCTGAAAAAGAAGCAGAAACCTGTGAATTTTACAGATCTACATAGGAAAACAACATTTAAACAGTCTCTAATTGACTTCCTTTACATCTTTTGGTAACTCAAAGCTGCTTCCTGAATAAAGGCATTAGCACACATTAAATTACCTAGCTTTTCCATGTCAATCTCACAGCATTTTCCACTGTAGAGGACAAACCTTTTAACACGAATAATGCTGAAATATTTCAGACAAACGAATATTTGTCTGAAATATTTCAGACAAATTTTCAGACAATACCACATTCGATGAAGTAGACTTTTTAAGGTTTCAAAGGCAGAGAAGAAAAACTTTGTTGCAATTTTCATTCACTAATATTTCTAAATACAGCTATAACAGGAAAACTACTAGGACATTGGAAACGAAGTTTGACTCAAGACTCCTTCTGTCAGTGTTCCTTACATCTTCACTCAGTATATCCTTTTGCCGAAGGAGCTCATTTATTTTCTGTTGCGATTGTTTGAGATCACAGTCCAACATGGAGCGCTGCTTCTCAGCTTCCAACAGCCGATTTTCTACTTTCTGCTTTAGAGCTCTCTCTTCCAAAAGTTTCTTTTCCATTTCTGTGAAGTAAAAGATGTAAGACATCAGTGAAGTGTAAAACAGGAGATTTTGAAGGCCAAAGGGAAGAGGATGTCTACCCTGTACTAACGATAAGCCACATGTTTCTCCTTTTAAAACTGAAGAGAAAGACTACTTAAAAGTGATTAATTAAAATTTTCACAGTAGATACACAGAGGATGCTTTTTCAAGCATTTCTGACAGAGCTATTTCCTACTTTTGAGCTTCTAGATAACTTCCAGTTTATCTGCAACACCTCTGAGATTAAGAAAACAGGTGGAATTTAAAAAATAAAACATTTAAATCTACTGTCCTCTGTGATAATATAAAATCAAAGAGTTGAAGCTATTTGGGAACCTGATATGCCAAGTGACTCAGCCATTATTACTGAGTCATTTTTGCTTCTTTTGAAGATCTGCAATCTCAAAATTTTTGTGAATGCTCTGCAATTGGAAGGACAGGATCTGTAGGTAGCTTTTTAATTAACTGAAATAAACATAAGCCATTTAATTGAAAAGTAAGAGCCATCTTCTGGATTTTTTTGGTAATTATCCCTCTCTTCAAGATATTTCAGTTGTAATGAGATGTACCAGAATATGCACAGTGAGAGATTCTATTATCTACTTTGCATAATTCACACCTAAGTCCAACTGTGATGCCAAATATATACCTTTCATGGCTTCAGATTTTGCTTCCTCTATAGACTCATAGATTTTATTTTTGTCTGCTAATCGTGCTTTTGTGGCTTTATGTTCAGCTTCTTCTTGTTCAAGGTTCTGCTGCATAACTTTGAATTTATATGTCATATCTATTTCCATGTTGCTCTTTTCCTATTAAATAAAAAATAACATTGAAATAAAACATTAAATACATCAGGTTAGTGGCAGAATTTTGAACAACAGTAACATGCTGCTTGAAAGGATGCTTGGAGCAGAAGAGAGAGCTCATGCTAAGGAACTAACTGAGAACTCATTTCCATGTTTTTTTTGTGAATGCCAAAGCGCTCTAAAAATGTACAGTGACATCCCCAGTTGCAAACAATTACAGAATTACTGCGTTATCAACCAACACTCTGCAGTAAGAGCAGCTCAAAGATTAAGTTTATTGAAGAAATTTTTCAAGCCTTTTGTTTCAATAACATATTTGTTAAAAAAATCCTATTAGCAGAGGCTCTTTTATTTTTGTCAATAATGAGAGTGTAAAAATACTCCCCACATGAAATGAAACGTAACTACTCTACTGTTAAGGTACACACCGGAGTACATAATTAGGTACACTTAAGTACTTCAGAAGTAAAATGTATCATGATTTTTTGGGAAATTATGTCTTTTTTGTCCCATTTATCAAATTGGAAAAAAATTATTTAAAAAAAAAATCTGAAAACAAGGCTTATTTTTTGTATAGGTTTGGTTGCAATGTCTCAAGTAATAAAAGTACAAATCAAAAATTCCTTAAGAATGTAACACTGATGTTCATTTAGCAGTGCTGTTACCTTTTCTAAATCTGTGAGCTTTTCCTGCAGTTGTCTCTTCTCCATTTCCAGTTTAGCTAATGCGCTCTTTCCATTTTTTACTTCTTCTTCGAGGCTAGATATTCGACCTAAAAATTACCAAAATATCAATGAGGTTGGTCAATGTGTGAAAATAAGACTGTATTTTATCTATTTTGAGATTTTTGAAATATAACAGTTTCTAATTCTGACTATTAAGAATGCCTCCTTTGGGGTGATTCCACAAGTTATCAATAATGTTTTATAAATGTTACCACACATTTTTTCTAAAATGCTATTCACAATTATGTAACATATTATAAAACAGCACACTTATCTAGTCACAGTCTGAAACTCAACACCACCCAAACTAGAAACAAGAAGCAATCTTAACTTCAGAAGATTTGCAGAAATACCTTGTAAATCACTGATAATCTCTGATCCATGACTTCGATCTCTCCTTTCTGATTCTAGAGCTGACTGAAGATTGAGATACTCCTTCTCCAGTTTGAGTTTTGCATTCTCTAGCAGGCAGTTCTTATCTTGTAGCTCTCTGTTATTAATTTCCAGCTGCTGGATTTGCTTTGTGCTTTCTGTCTGGTTCTTCCTTAACCTGGCTGCAGTATCAGACTCTGACCGCAGCAAAGAATTGGCTTCATCCAACTAAGAGTGATAAAAACATACTTCAGAAATAATTAAAATATAAACCCCACTATTTCTACTACAGAATACTAAATTTTACGGATTAAAGAAGCAAGGAGTATATTTTAAGATTACTTTTGAACACCAAAACCTAAAGAGAAAGAACAGCTTTTAAAATCCAATTACACATTTCAAATTCCCCCACTGTTACCAAAATATGTACTGTAATCAGTCATTATTTTAAAATATGTGTATATAAAGTTGGCATACTTGTCTTTGTAGTTGATTGATTTTTTCATTGGATATTTGAGAGTTTTGATTCCTCTTTTTTAAATCTTCAAGTTGGTCTTTCAAACTGTTAACTGCAACAAAAACAATTCAACATTGTTAATCACTGCCATGAAAATGCTTCAGTTGGAACTATAATTAATTTATTTTAAGTATTAAAAACCCACATCAAAATGGAACCTTTAAGCATGGTTCAACATACCCTCATTTTCCAAATTGCGTTTCTTATCTGCTTCATGTTCTGCTTTCCTCTGGTATTCTGTATTCTTATGCTGAAGAAGAGCTTTCTCTCTCTCTAACTGTCTGACTGCAGACTCTACATTCTTCCTTGAAGTTATCTGGATATGTTTAAAAAAATACACTGCTAATTACACACACAGGAGTAGTATTCTTATACGATAAAAACACAGCTCATGCACTCAGTTTCGTCTGTAATGGAGGAAGCCAGTCCTGCTGCAAATACAACGTACCAGAACACGTGGTCAAACCCAGCCCAGGATGTCTGTGGCCAGGAGCTTTGCAATTTAAATACTGTTTGATCATTTGGGTTTGACAAACCTGGTGGACCTGCCTAAGCAGTCACTCGGGGAGCAGAGAAACATACATGTAAAGGTACAGTCTTGACGTGCACCTGCATGAACTACACATTAAGTTGTACACAGCCACATCCAGATTTGTTGAAGCAGTAAGGTGCAAAGCTGGGCAAGAAACAGGGTCCCATTACTAACAAAACATGTTACAAAATCATGTAACAAAAGCATGGCCTTTCTCCTCTGGAAATACTACTCTCATACCTTCAGTTTTTAAAATCTGTATGGGATATTTGTGTCATGCTGTCTGCCAACTTAAAAATATGGTAAAAAACTAGTTCTGGAAAGAAATGTGCAGTTATGGTACAGAAATCATAATGAGAATATTTTAGCAATGACAACAATTTTATGCTTGTGAATACCAAGAAATCAGATGGTGTTATTTGTTATAAAATATACAGCTACTCAAAAGCAATTTTCTGTTATTGAGGGAAGAAAATCCATGCACAAATGTTAAAGCTCTAATTCCAGTGAGAAATCTATGGCCTTACCTCTTCTTCGAGCTCTTTCGTTATCTTCTCTAAACGAACACTTGTAGACCTGAACAAAATTGAAAAACCATTTAAAACCCTGCTGATAATACAGAAATAAGAATGTTTGGATGTGTTTCAGTAATTTTATGTAAGGTGTTTTTGTCTCATTAATTTTATGCAAGATATTCTATTTTAAGCAACAATATGAAACCTCAAGGACTGGTGAAATCACTAAACAGTGAGATTCTTATAAGGAGTTAAAGCAAAAAAAAATCTCAACAAATCCCCAAAAAAACACTAGTCACAGGAGTAGAAAGAATTAAGCCAGCAACTTACAGTAAAGTCTGCTTGCAGGGTTGGGAATCCCCAAAGTGGATTAAAATGCTTTTAAGCATTCAAAAACAAAAGGTCTAATAAAACATCCTTATAAACATACCAAATATGTTGAAACATTCTCACCTGTACTTCTGTTCTAGTTCATCTTTGGCTTGTAATTCATTACTGAGCTGTTCCTCTAGCTTGCTTAATTTTTTCTGAAACTGTGTAAAATGTCAAAAAAAGCATGGCCCACATATTAAAATGCTTTCACAGAAAACAAATGCAATTCAATTAAATAACAAAATAAGGGAAAGCGAGGAAAATTAATTCAATCTTCCAGTATATTATTTTAAAACCATCACTAAAATGTTAAATCTTTACAAGGTATTAATTCTGATAATTTTAAATATATGAATTTATAGCAACAAAATTTGCTGCATGCTGAATTGAACTGTTGCAGAATTATGTGCCACAGATTGTGAGTCATTAAATTTATATGGGCAAAAAGCATTGTTACCGGCCCTTTGCTGTGCTCTGTAGCCAGAGACTTTCCACTGGAGCAGATGTTTTTGGATAGCATTTTCTAAATGAAATGAAAAAATAGAAAAGGGGTGTACATGACCAAATTGGACAATATTCAGATAATATGGCTACACATGTTCAGTGACCTCACATAAAGAAGAATTTCTTAAGTCTTACACCTTGGGAGCTAATGAACACTTTGAAAATGCTTTGATTTGCTTACTCAAATATTTTAAAAAAATAATTGTGACTCCAGTACCCAAATAGTCATGAAATAAATTTTAAATAATAAATTTTGGATTTATCTCATTACTTCAGGCTTTCAAATGCATTTATTTTCCTCCCTTCCTCTTCCTCCTCTACCCTCCAAACACAAAATGTAAAATGTGGTTTTCCAAAACATTTATGATTGTTACAATTAGAAAATTTCCACAACTGGAACACTGAAAAGGACATCAAAACCAGAGATTTGTTGCTTGAGAAAATACAAATAAAATAAGTTGTCAGAAGTGAAATGCAAAATTTTACCATCTACACTTACTAACACAACATAAAGCAAACATCATGAATGTGACCATATGTATTTCAAACAGCAGTACATTTCTATTTAAAAGCTGAAGTTTAAACTATTCATCAATTCATCAATGACAGGAAGGAAGTCTAATAAACATCTGCATTTAAATTTATCTGATCAATACATAATGCATTTCCTTAATGTATTTTTTAAAGTTTGAAAAAGAATTGTAAGTTTTAAGAAATGTTAACAATATATTATATACACTCAGATAATACAAATGTTTAAGTAATATAATGAGTAAGTAAGTATATGAAAATACCATCACTTTTCCTGTCATGCAAATTTAAATTCTTTTGTCAGTCTTCAAAAGCTGGATAAACATGCTCCATATACTCCAACTGAGTATGATTTAAACATTCCCTTATCCCTGCAGGTGACAATTTACTTTTTCAAATCCTGAATAAACCAGTCATGAATCATTAATGCAAGTGTGAGACCTTCACAGGAGTATTGCTGTCTGTAGGAAACAGAGCTTCACACATTGGCTTTCCAAACAAATTCTGGATGCAAAAAGAATTTGAGAAAAATCTGTATTCATTTATCTTTATACTATAGCACCTTAACACTTGAGTACAACTGTTTCAAAATACAACTGATTTACTGCTAACAATTTGGTGAATAAACATTTAAGATACTTCACACCCACATAAAATTATGTAGGAATTTTTCTATTCCTTTCCTAATTCAGATACTATACTTACCTCCTTGTTGTCCTGCAAATAGAAAATACCATTTTTTTACTCAGGATCATTAAAAGACAAAAAGCCCCCACAAAACTTTTTTAACACTTATTTTAGACTGTTTCTTTTCTTAACAGACTTAACAAAATTAGTTAATCATCCCATTATTACTAACAAAAAAGGCACTAACCTCATTTTTACTAGATTGCACAGATTCGTTCTCTCTACAAGACTGAGAGGAGTCACTTAGCAACCTGTCAAAAACAAAAACAAATCCCTCCAGCTCTTACTCAAGTTTTTAACAACTCTGGCAGCCTTGCCATTTTAATAAGTTCTCTCAAGTCTCAAGTTGTCCTACGCTGCTCTCAGAATGACGCTTATTTTATTTTGGTGCTAGTGCATCTTTCTGATTTGAACCTTTCCTTAACAGAATGTTTTCAAAACTACAGCAGCTTGTAATTTTTTAATTAATACAATTATTTCCTGATTATTAGGATAAATTCTAAAAAGTTATTATGCGGTGTAAGCTTTCTTCTAAAATAACTAGTAAAAAGCCATTTTAGAAAAATAATTAGAAATCTATCAGAACTTTAACTGATTTTTTAAGATATTGTATACTTTTGTGCATATAAAGATACACTGTATAATCAGAGTTATTGAAATAATTGAAAGAGTAACAAATTATTTTACTCAAACTTTGCATTTTGGATCTTCACAAGTGGACATAAATTAATATAATGCAAGGAATAAATTATGTATTTAGACTGAAAAAAAAAGAATATAAGAAAAATGTGCAGGCATGCTTTTAAAAATGCATATTCAAGTATCACATACAAATTGTCTCTGTAGTAGGTGAATCCTATGAAAGGCAGCTGGTTTCCCACAAAGGCTTTGGGGATTGGAAAGGTTTCCACGTCTCCCTTGTCGTCCTCAATGTCATCAAAATTACTGCTATCTATATCACTGCTAAGCTCAGGAACAACAGGAGCAGCAGCTATAAAAAGAGGAAAAAAGATGCATTTCACTCCAAGATTCAGTCACTTGCTAGATACTGGTAATCTCTCTAGTGTTAAAAGACTTTCTAGTGTTAAAAGACTGTATTATAAGTTGTTCTTAAATAACTTGGAGTTAAATATGTATCAACCAGACAGCAGATCTGGAAATATTACTGTGAACAATTTTTTCTAGAGTAATCTTATTTTTGTATTGTTGCCTAATGCATAGACCATCTAGTATGCAAGACATATTTTCTCAGGTAATCACATTTCAGAATAGAACTTTAAATACAATCATCATTTAAAAAATTCTTAGTAAATATATAACTTTAGAAGTAATGACAAGCTTATAAGAACTGACATACTTTGATTTTTTTACCTAAAGCTATCAGGTTCTCAATACCTTACATGAAAAGCACTAAAACTGAGAAGACCATTGTCAAACTACTGTCTTAACTACCAGAAGATTAAAAGAAAAATAAAACAAGAAACCCACCTCAAAAGAACAAAAAAACCCCAGAGAAACAGAACCTAACATGCATTCCTTTTAGTTAAAATTTCTGAAACATCCAATACCATTGTTTAAAATGGAAATGTCTACATTAGAAATAGGATAAAGATGTGATAATTCCAGTAGGAAAAATGCATATTTATTAACCCTTCCTCATATAAGGTTTTATAATACAAGTTATAAATATGAATGTTTGGGCAAGATTCTTCATAGATAGGAAGTACTTAATTTATACAACTGAAAGATTTTTTCATTTCTGCTACTGCAAGTAATGAATAAAATAGAACTTTTAACCTAATTTACTTACTCTCTCGAATGTTGTCCCAGTTCCACTGATCACTTCTGAAGAAAGGGTGATGTTTTATTTCTTCTACCCCATTTCTCCCAAGTCGCACATCCCTAAACAGCAATTAATCCAGAGTTACGTTAGGAAAAATAGCTGCTTTTTATTTTTATTTATTTAAATTCTAACTTGATCATAAGCAGCAATGAAATTTTTAGTAAAGATTGTCTGTGTTAACCACACTAATAGTCAAGCAAAAACAAAATTTAAAAACCACCAACCACTAATCTGTAGATTCTTATATAAAATATACTGATTCTTATTATGTACTCTCCCTGTGACTGCTAAAATGTCCAGAATCTGGAGTCTGCCACGTGGGGAGTAAAGCAAGAAAGAGAGCACTGAGTCAAAAACTAAGAAAAAACTAAAAACACAAACAAAAACTCAACACCCTTGGGGGAAATAAAACCACAGAACATTCATGTCTGCCAAACCACATGACAGACCATAAGACGCAAGTGAAGGAAGGTCTAACTTGCTGCACAGAACAGTTATTCAAAGCTGGACTAAAATAAATATTCTAAGAATTCCATCCTCTGCCCCACAACTAACCCTGACACGTCTCTTGCTGATATTTGCCGCGAAGTAAATCTTAAGTGCAACAAGAAACTTTTAGTTTGAACAGAAGAATCTCTCTCGAAACTACGTACAAGAACAGGACATAAAAACAATGCATGGAAAAGAAGCAATAAATCACAGGGTAGATGTTTAGTCCTTCTTTAAGTGCTTCAGCAGGATCACGCAGCATCTGTTTCAAATAAATTGCTCAAGCCCTGTGTTAAATATAAACAGGAAGAGGGACACACGTAGTGGAAGTCCACCTTACTACATTTACACTATTAAATTCTAACCATATTTTCTCTCTACCCTTCAGCTACTAAGGGTGAAAAATGCTGTTAAATAAAGCACATCCTTCCTGACCAACCACAGGCTTGCTCAGCAGAGCAAACAATCTCTCTTTGAATGCAAAACCCATTATAAGGCATTTTGTTTTCCTAACTCCTCCTTCTATAGTGGCCGGATGCCCTACTCCAGCCAAGTTCAGGTGAACACAGGAAAGCATAAAAAGGCATCACCTATCCAGAGTTAACTGTGGACCTACACTGTTCTTCAAAATCAGTTAAATTGAAGATTATCTCTGCTTTCTGAAACTAAACAAAATATAAGTGTTCAGGTCAAGAACAAGCTTACACAGCTTAATTTCAATAAGCGGCTTAGTTCCAGTAAGGGAAACTTCTAGGAATAACCTTGCAGGTTTGTTAGCTATATTTACCAATTAATGCAACAAAGCAAATTAAAAAAAAAAAAAATATCAAACACTTTAAGAGACCTTAAACAAATTCAGTAAATACATGCTCACTTTCAGGAAAGTACTTGCTTCCACTTTTTTTAAGTAACACCCACACAGACATTGGGCAAATCAATTTTTTCCCTGCCTTGGAGGTTATGAATTACTTTCAGCCTTACAGATTTGTCACTGCTATTGGAAGGATTTGTCCAGCACAAACTGTGTTGTTAACAAGAGCTGTCAGAACTGCTCATAGAAATAAAATACAATACCTGGAAAAAACACCTCAAAAGAAAAACTAGAGAACAGGAGGTTTGACAGAATAGATTTGAACAGAGATCAGGAGAAGTACGAGAAGGAATTAAATTTTACAATGTATCATCCAAAATAAATACAGCCAATACCATCTAAAATAAAGAACAGTGCCAGAACAATATGTGCACTTACCTATCAGTTAAAAAGGCACAGATAAGGTTCTTTGCATGCTTTGAGATTTCCACATCATCTGGGAAATGCAATGAGTTCTTATGATCCATAATTTTACTATATGTTCCTACTAGTGAGTCTGCATAAAAAGGAGTATCACCTGAAAATAAGATATTAAATTTGCTGTGACTTTATATCATGTTTAAGTTACGTGAGTTGAATAAAAGAGATAATGCAAAGTCTACAAGCAGTTTACCTAGAAGAGTATTTTATTAAGAAAAAGAAAAAAATTGGACATACAGTGTACAAATAATGTATACTACTAAAAATATTCCTTCCCTAAAATGTCTGTGTTACAAACTGCACAATTTTACATCCTGTCTGTCACTACCAAAATTTTGCCTGGTGAATTATATCTTTTATTCTGCCTTAAGACTCTCAATATATTTTCTAAGTTATATAATGGCTGACACCCATATGAATCAATCTTTAAACACTCCAAGGATAAAATGGACCAAAACTCATTAAAGACTTGCTAATGCACATTTGTTGGAAGGAGTCCAGCAAAGCTCTCTGAAGACCATTTCAGAGGCACACAGGTCTATCCTCCTTAAGGCATGTCAGCTCAGAGCAGTAGCCTTCCCAGTGTGTTACCACACTGTTAAACCCATATTAATAAATCTTGCTGACTGACAAATTACATCAGCTTGAATGCCCATATTAACATGACAAGTGGCTTTTATAATAGACTTTTCTCACCCAGAGGTTTCCAGCCCAGGCTGTAGTTAAAGATATTTGCAAAGGAACTAGACTTTTAAAAGGTAAAACTAGGGCAAGAGAAAAGAATAGGCTGTGATAAAGACAATTGACAAATTAACTGGCAACATTCTCAAGAAACAAATGGTTTGAGTCTGTAATCAAGACACTGCAACTATTACAGGAGTCCTTTCTCCCAGCTAATCCACAGGTTTAATAGAGAAAGTGAACAATCACGTGAGCTAGGCTCTTCCCTTGGTTCTGGTGTGCTGTGCACAGGCAGGAATCATCTGGCATCGCAGGCTGCGGCCTTCCAACAAGGAACTGAGCATTTCAAAAGCCACGAACATGAAAAAATGTACAAACAGACCAATGGACAACCACCATTCTGCTTTCAAAAGAACAATCCTAACTTTTGTCTCTTTCTATCATTTTAGAGCAAAATAAAAAATTAACACACACCAGCTTGAACGTAACTTCTAGTTTTCTAGTAAATTTTTTAGGTTGCCACACCAGTGCACTGCAGGTGGGAATCACTGATATTTGCTCCTGCCTCCCTCTTTCCCAACCTTCCTCTTCTCAATCGTCTTCTATCTTGGAAATAGCTTTGATTTTGGCCACACCTCATACTATCTTAAGTCACTGAACTAACGTTAGGATTCATCCTGTGACCAACATTTTATGGTTTGGTTAAGCATACAATAAAATTTTCATTTTCATAATAAAATTACCATTTTCATTAGTTCTGCGGCTTTTTCAAAACCAGAATTACAAAACCATTTCTGTGCTTTCTTTGAAGTGCAAAGTTTTAGAAGACCATAGCCAGAATCTGATACATAAGCACAGACAAAAATAGATACTTTCTACTGATATGTGGGATATGGAGAAATTAAGTAATATTTTCCTCCTAGATACAACGGGGAAATAAAGAGACTCTGAAAGGCTGAGAAAACATTCTGGACAGCTTTGCCTAATATTTTAAGAACTGAATAATTTTATTTACTGCTAAAATGGTTCACGAGATACTATTAACTGTAAACCACATATTCTTAAAGTCAAAACGTTGTAATTCTGAAAGAGTTGGAAATAGTAATAGCATCATATGTTTAACTGTCTTTCCTGTCTCAGAATACCAGAAACATCAAATCTGCAATATTCCCAGAAAATGCTGATTTGTATTTTTAATAATTGTATGCTCAATTACATCCTTTCATAGTCAGTATTTTGCTACCAGACTATCATACTGATCCTCACTATATTTTAAGATGCAGATGACTCATCTCCTTAACAGATTATATTCTATGTTCGTTGCCATAGCAGTCCAGTATATTTTACTGGATTTTTAGAAAATCCTGATTCAAGCACAAAAGAAGGAATTGAGCCATTCCTTTGGCTCCTTCCACACTTTGACCTAACAGAAGACACTGATGTGCTGTGGAAAAGGAGGAAAAAAGAAAAAGACAGTCCTGCCCTTGCCATTTGTCTCATCTCTTGTGTCCCTGCAAACTCAATCCTGCCTGAGTTGGCACAAATGTGGTGAGGTAGCTGACCCCAGTTAAAACTATTCTAAGAATTAATTTTAAGCTGAACCAAGTCAGGAAACTCATCACTGAGCAAGCATGCAAACAGCTGTTGCCGTGTGAGAGTGACAGAGAGCAAAGAGAACAACAATGAAGCCACAGCATCAGCCAAAAGTCAGAAGCTGTTAGCGAGGTACGAGCAGCCTCCACACAGCAATACGTAGCTAAAGGCAAAGGGAAGATTGAGTGATAATCTTATTAGTAGAAGAAATCATTACTTACCAACTAACATCTCAAAAAGGAAAACCCCTACAGACCACCAGTCACATTCCCGTCCATAATAACCATCACCCCCCTGCGATTTCAGGACTTCAGGCGAGATGTAGTCAGGAGTCCCCACGGCTGTGTCGCAGCGCACCATTCCTGTCTGTGCAACAGTAACAACACAAACAGCTCAGTTCAAGGGGCTTCTGAGCACCTCTAACCAATTCCTCTGTTAGTAGGACAGAAAACCATAAAAATGCAGCCTAAAATACTTGGTTCGAGGAGTGTGTTTTAAAGACTATTTATAATTCAAGAAGCAATATGGATTGAAATGACATTTCTTGCTAATGTGCTTACCCCTGCCTACTCCATAGTGATTTCTCTTGACTTCATCTTCTCAAAATTCACCAATTTTATTATTTTTACCATTGGTTTTAATTTGAAGGTACACACCGTATCAGACTGCTCCTTTTCTCATTTAATTCAGGGACAAACTTTAGAAAAATTTTGACAAGTTATGAACTCTAGGCCCTACAAGCAGATACAGAATTTTGTCTAATTCAGCAAATAAATCAAGTAATAGGCAAATTTTTATAGATATGCCTTGTTTTTGTTTAAAGATAGGAAGAAGAATAAAAGGAGAAGCTGTTTTTAAAGAATAGCAAAGCCTTTGTTTTTTAAAAAAATATTTTTTATTAACATATTACCACAGTTGTATCAATTAAATGATTCCTCATCCTCTGCTCCACATTGAGAAACTAAAAATGTAGGGACCAAATGACGCAGAAGCATCAATCAGCTCTGCCATCATTCTGATTCAGAGTTACAGGTTTTGTTTCCTTTAATGAAGATCACTGAATTCACTCCTGAGAGACCAGATGGATGAAAGAAATTAAATTCTCGATGAAGTTAGAGAAGTACCAAAAATACACTCATCTTTTATTCTGTTTCCCAGTCTGAAGTTTTATCTAAATCCTTTTACAAAAGTTCTTCATGCATTTTGCCATCAGCATGAAAATATGCATTAATTCTGATTACTAATACAGAATATTAGTAGTAACATCTGTTCAAAATACATATTTAAAGAAAAAAGTGAAACATTTCATTTTGGGAATTGTACTGATACACAAAATCTAGACACCACAGTAAAATATTCCTTCTCATACACAATATGAACTGTGAACTTTTATTTCTGTACTAAAACAGAATCCATCAAGTCATGAACCAGCAGGCAAAAACTAAAGGGATGACTGTAGAGACCTGTGGAGTACTTCAAATGTCCTCCTGGCAAATGCCTATCTTCTATCACTCCATGCTAAAACTGAAACCTAAAGAAATTTTAACTTCTCAGATCCAGAATAAAGAGCAGGTAAACTTTTGCATTCTATACTGGATGAGATAGCACATAGCTTATTCATACTGGGATAAGACAATGAAGTTAACTCTTTCCAGAAAACCTATAGCATTCATTTGACGAAGAAAAATACACGCAAACACATTTTAATGCTGCAAAATAAACTAGAGCTCAAAGACTCCAGAAATCTAAAGTTGAGAGCATTTGAAAATGGATCTAGCACATGGCAAGGAACTACTATTTGAATACCTTACTTGTCACAGTACTCTGTGCACTAACCTGTGTGTGTCTTCTCTGAAGCCTAAGCCTCTCCTTGCTTGAGCACAGGAGGAATTGCTCTAGGGTTATGTGGTTTTGCTAATCCAGTAGAACTGTGGCAACTTAGTAAGGCTCCAACTGGTGTCTATCTCTTCCTTATCCAAACACAAAATTATAACAAAGGAAAGTCTGAATTTTTGCTCAGTCAAGTCTGGTTGAAGTCACCTGAATCCCACCCTGGGTAAGGAGATAGCTTAAAAACAAAGTCACCAAAACAGTTCTTGAAAGAGCTCTCTGAAGTCTGCAGCTTCAGTCACAAGCCTCTCCACCTTGACACTTAAGCACTTAATAACACCCTATTTCCCATTCCTCTATAATTAATACACCAAAGCAAGAATACCTTTTAATATATTATACATGTTGATATTTTCTGAAGTCTTAAACAAAGCAAAGGCTTTTTCTACAATAAAAGAAGCCCTTGCATGCTAACACCAGGTTCAATAGGCTATAGCTCTCTGAAGCACATGGAACTGGTTGTACTTTTTCCCCATAAAACTCTACTTTCTGTCTCAGGAACTAATCTAGAAATGCATTTGCAGATCACAGAACAGCCTGGCTTGGAAGGGACCTGACAGATCATCTGACTCAACTGGTCATAGTAAAAGGAGCTGATATATGATTATCTAGCACCCTGTGGGACTGCATCACAAAATGGGGATTCTACCATGTCCCTGAGGAGACTGGCCCATTATCACTTGAATATAAAACTCCCAGATTTCTGTTCCACTCATTCACACACTTCTTTCAAAGAACTTGGGTGTTGTTCTGTATGTATTTTTAAGTACTGGGTACCTTTAATACTACATTCAGACTGTGATCTCTAGCTAAAAAGCTGAGTAAACAGGGACATGCTGTCTGCCCAGCACAGAACACCTTGGCAGTCCCTACATTCTGACGAGACTTGAATGATGCTATTTTGTCTGGGCCATGTGTTACTCCTGAGTCTGAAAGACTAAGCCTCTATTTATGCCTGAGTAGCACACTTATTGTAACAGTTACCACACAAAGCTTTGAGTAGAGAGTCTCAGGCCAGTGTTTAAGCTGAAACTTTTCTCATCACCACAAAAGATCAAGGTGGACCTTGGAACTCATCTCCTGCAGCTATGTGGTAGATGTAGAGTGAACAATTTTTAAAAAATGGGCTGTCCAGCAATGTTCTCGCAGCTCCTGACAACTTGGAGATGAGGTTCCCTGTAGTGTTTCCCAGCATAATTCAGCAATATTATAGTGCTGAAGACAAAGCAATTCAGGTTTCATCTTCAGGAGGATCTCCATCAAGCCTGAATGACTTGCTGTCTTGAACCAAGGCTTGAATCAGGCTTTCACTCCCTCGGGAAACTCCTTCCACTAAACAAGAGCTGGAGGGTGTTTGCGTGGAAACATGAGGACGGCACACATCAGGTGTTAACAGCAGACAACGCACTGAGGCAGGAAGGATCCAGCAGAGTCCTCTTCACTGGAAAAGCTTCAATGAGAAACAATCGGAGTTCCAAAAAAAGGAACACGCTGCTTCTTTCACCTGATCTGCCTGGGCTGAGGCAATGGTCCCAAGTGGCAAACATCCCTTCTTTTGGTCACATCTCTTTCAACAGATACTCTCTGAATCTGTGCTCTGCTGAAAGCTGAGTTAGCACGGGACAGTGCTGTGCATGATGACACTGGCAGCTCCTGGCCCTAGGATACCTGCCAAAGCCAACTGCTGTTTGGTTTCTTACACAACACCTGAAGATTTGACAGAGACTGGTGAACCCTGCCCTGGTCTACCTTATCATACCTAAATACCAAAAAAAGATACCACTATTCCTACTAAATTTTTGAGTCTAACTCCATTCTTTATTCAACAACAGAAATACCTTGTTGCAGATTTTAAAAAAAGATGACTAATTAAAAAAAAAAAACACAAAAACTTAGCAGCTCTTTTTAGAAAATTTTAAGGAGAAACTCTGCTGCAAGTGTCTGTTCTGGCCTGGCCTGGCTGACTTAAGCAAACACTGAACAGCAAAGGTCAGAAAAATCTCTCAACAAATTGTAGCAAAATTTTCCTGGGCTCTCAACAGCATAAGGAAGAGGCTAATGCTCACAACTGCTAAAAGAGATCCAAATAAAAAAAACAAGTAAGTACTGGGTATGCATATATTTTCTACAAATCAGTCTGCCAGCACCAATATTATATTTACACAGCTGGAATGTGTTCATATTTTGTAAAAAGTAGCATGAGATTTGGAGACAATCCAGAACCTCTCAACTTCTAGCTTCCTGTAGAAAAAATTTTTGCCATTCCACTGAGTCTGAGAAACACAAAAAACTTAAAATTTAATCCTTTAAAGAATTAACTTCTCTAGGAGATCACTGGTCCACTGATGATACCCAGTCTAAAGAGGAGCTCACTGTAACTTTTTATGAGAAACACGGATTCATTTCTCACATCTACAGTACCATCATACGCATTTTAGTATTCCATTCTTTTAAAAATAGCAGTGAAAAAGAAAAAAAGTAGAAAGCATAGGTCCACCATTTCTGGAGTCCCTAAAACAGCACAGAGGATCACCTTTTTTATTGGCAGATTTATACTGTGAGCTTTTTTGATGCTTTTTTGTTGTCACTTCCAACAAACAACAGATTACCTTAAGACATTACAACCTACTGACTTAAAAGAAATATTAATAATTTTAAGGACTTAATTAAGAGACCAAGTACTACTTTTGATTTTTTCAATTAAAGTAAATGCTGTCCTCTAAAAGCAAGTAAATCAACAAAATGGAGGTAAATATTATCTCTCCCTTTAGACTAACAACTACAACATCAACAAAACTGAATAGAGTGAACTTCAATAAACAGCTGCAGATGGACAATGGTGAAGTTAATATATTATCATGTAGAAAAAAAATCTATCCTAAACAGACACAGTACTTGTGGATACTGCTGAAGAGACATTAACCTAATGATGCAAATGCAAATTAAGTAGATAGCAGAAATTATATCAAGCACTGTCTAAACAATACAGAAAGAAACCCAAAACATAAAAGCAAGTAAGCTTAAAAGGATCACCCTTGCCAACACTACTAAAGAAAACTTTCAAAGACCGGGTAAATCATAACACACATTCACATGCAGTTTTTTTGTATATATTATAATCTGGTATAGATTTTCGTAGGAAGAATAGTTATAGTTTTTCATAGGAAGAGTATATTCCGTAAATTACAGCATAACCCTTGTCTGTCAGACAAGATTCTAGGAGTGCAAACTACAAAATGGTAGTTTTATTTTCAAGGTTTTTTTTAATAATATAAAGTATCCTGTTAAAAAAATTCTTATACAAACTCATTAGAAAACTGTATTTGGCTGTACATGGCGAAATCTGGACAAGTAAATAATTTTAATTGACATCTTGGCATCCTGACAAATAACTAAAAGATTTCGATCAATATATCACATATCACCGCTGCTGTACTGTGACCTCATTTGAATGACCACTAGAGGATGCTATGAGAACAATTAGATACAGGAAAAAAACACATGGAATGAATCTTGGCTATAAAATAATTTCATTTACAAAAATAATGTCAGCTCATCAACTGTTCCAAGGTTATTAGTGTTGAAACTAAGAGTTATCTTGCAAGCTTTTCAAACGTTTGGCAAAAAAAACGTACCTCAGAAATTCATAAACACACATGCTTTCATAAATAGCAGAGTAAGTTTACATCCTTCTTCCGTGTGATAGAACAGTTTATAACAGAAAAGGTTAAACTATTTAAAATACTCTTATATTTAAAAGTAGGAAACAAGAAACAGCTTTCTACTCAAGTAGATAATTTGATGAATATTCCTTTGGGTATTATACTTCATAAGAAAATAATGTTAGATATAGATGTAATTAAGAATTACAGTTTAACAGATGGTAAATTATTCAGTTGCATACTTACTTCATCCATTTTCATGCAAGTGCCAAAATCTGCCAGCTTCAGATGCCCATACTTATCTAAAAGCATATTGTCAGGCTTCACATCTCTGTGTATCAAGCCCATGGAGTGAATTGCATCAAGAGCAAGAACAACTTCAGCTGTGTAGAACTTGGCCCATTTCTCAGGCACATCATAATTGCTCATAAGGTTTACAAGATCTCCACCTGGCATGTATTCCATTACCATGTACAAATATTTGTCATCTTGAAAGGCACAAAATAGCTGCAACATTAAAAAAAGGAAAGGAAAAAAATGCAATTACTTTTCAGACAGCTAGGGAAATCAATAAAGCCCTTTATCTTGAAGTTTCATTAAACCTGAGAATATGTTTCCAAGATTACTTTTAATATGCATGAAAGATACATTTTTCTATTAATTATGGGAGTACCTTGGAATTTACTGAACTTCAGAACCCCTCATTATAATTTTTGAGAAAGTAAAAAGTATTTCCTGATTATAGGCATCTGTCTGTCTATCTATCATCCATCTCTATGTTTCTTGGCATTAAGAGGTATCACTGAGTCAAAACGCAAAGTATCAAATCTGTGACAGGGGGCAACATGTTCTGATTTGAAAATAGCTCGAGAGAGCAGCATCTTAGACTGTTTCCAAATTTTCTATATTATAAATTTCTTATCTCTGTACATTTTTGTGCTGGCTTTGTCTAAAACAACACATATTGAAATAAGAAATAAAAACAAAATGTTTCTGAAGACAACTATAACACAATACAAAGAAACTGTCCTTAACAATAAAATACTGGTCTGGTATAAGTTGCGGTGGGTGTTTCCTACTGGCATGATAGTGAAAGTAAGTTCAGTCTCTTTAAAATGTATTTCAGACCTGGAGTGCTAAAGTTTTGGAGATTCCACTTGGTGATCACCAGTCTGGCAAAAGTATTATCATCAAATGTTCAATGACTGATCTGAAAAAGTCTCTGAAATTTTCACCTTATTTTTCAGGGAATACTGACTTACCTTAAGAACTAAAATCGTTCACATCTTTAAATTACATACACAAAATTAAAAGGCAATTGAAAAATAGGATGTGTGGAAAGGACCAAGTCAGAATCAGGGAGACTGTGGAGGATAAGGAACCATGATAGGCAGGTATGTTACTATGGTGATTTGACTTTCAGATTAAAATTATTTGTATAACTAGTGTCAGAAGCCCTTGATTACAAATATTTATTTGAATACATATATGTTGCACTGTACTTGTTTGCACAAATGGATAATACATGCAATATATAGTACGATAATGCATTGGGTCAATAAAATCCAAATGAAGATTCAAAATAATCTCTATTTTGTCACATGTAGAGATATTAATAGAATAATAAATAAAAGCACTATGTCTTTATATAGCACTTTGTTATTGCCCTCAAGCGACTTCATAAAAAAAATAAAAAATAAATAAAACTATCCAGGGATCTTGTTGCATTTGTTTTTCACATAAATACTAGACAGAGAGAAGCAGTGTGATCTGTCTCAGTTTCTAGATCAGAACAGGACCTACATTTTCTTCAAACCAGCTCAATGTCCTACCCCATTGGAAATATCACCTAAATATATCACACTAATACACTTAATCATAGAAGGCACAATTGCAACTACACTTTAGTTCATTTGCTATTTACAAATGCAGACACACATTTATATCCTGCTTGTGACAGTTTCCTTTGAAAATCCATGTCATGAATTTCTCATCACTTTCATGTGAAAAATAGTTCCTGACAATTGTTACTAGAACAAAGAACTAAATAAAAAAATCATCTATTTGTTTAAGTATTTCTGCTGAATATAGGCAAGAGCACAGAACACGCTCAAGGAGCAAAACATCTTTGTATACCTGAGGTAAAGCATTATGAAAAATATATGGAAAGCTTAAATCCAGTCTTATTAAATATACAGAAGCATGGCAATATATATGAGAGAATTTAAATTAAGTATTTAAAATTTAAGGATTTCTCCAAGCACATGCTTTCAATACTCCTTTTGTTAATTGGTGCAATTTACCAGTTACAACAAATGGCAATAATCAGTACTGATTGTTCCCAAAGACATAATTCACATTACAGTATCTTGATGACACATGTCAAGAGACAGCTGTGAGTGATGGTGTTCAACACCAGATGAAGAAGTCAACTCCCTGCTACTTGGATATGTTGAGTGCTGATGCTCAGAACTGACCACTACGAGAAGATGATTTCAAGGAAACCACTGCTACAGCTCCTTGTCTTGTAGGAGACCAGCACTGAACACTCATCCATATTATCAAACTGTAGCTGAAAAGACAGCCACTATTTAAAAGCACTCTTACTACCAATTGCCTGTGATCAACTAACTGTATCACGAGGAAAGACAATGAATACCAATCACATTTGTTTCTATATTCCTATAGAGAATGTTTCACAGTTGGATAACTTCCCTATTATTCCAAATAATTATGTAGGCATTTAAAAAATCTACTTAATTTTATGTTATGATGCATTTGTAGTGACTAAAATGCAAATTAATCTACTTTTTAACACAGCCAAATATACAAAACTTAGTGAAATTGCTGTAAAAATGTATTTTTAGAAGTAAAAATCTGAACCTAAACCTGGATTTTAGTTTCAAAGTAAAGTCAAAACCAGCTCAAGCCTGCGAAGTATTTATGGCATCAGCATCATTACTATTGCTGTTGCTTTTATTATTTACATGTTATTGTACACATCTTCCTTACCTGAACCACCCACGGGCTGTTGGCAAAGGCCATGATATCTCTTTCTTCCCAGAAAAAGGCCGAATCTGATCTCTTGATCATTTCAAATTTACTAAGTAGCTTCATTGCATAAACCTTCTGTGTCATTTTATGGCGAACCTGTTGGTAGAGAAAGAAGGGAATCAACCATTTTAAAATGCCTTGTTAAAAACCAGAGTACCATCATAGTATGTTTCTGCTATGTGCAAACTGCTTTCTGGAATGCGATACCTCCAGGTATTCATACACCCAATTTCTACACAGTAAGGATTTGAGTACTAACCTAAATAGAAAAGTTTAACAGTTGCTCAAAAAAACTCACTGTAGCGGGAAATAAACTATAACTCTACTTTTATTTTCTTATTCTGAACATTGTGCCATTGAATTCATTCAAGTTAGAAACTGGGCAAGCAGTCTGCTTCAGCCTCTGCCAATTTTTATTTTACACCAAAACATGATTGCTCCTACTTCTTTTCCAAAACAGTTCTTAAATTCACTTTAAATGTTGCAAAATTAATACAATGTATCTTGTTGGAAAACTGTAATTAAAGCTTCTTTTACAAAATATGAAAACTTCATCTGAATTCAGACATAAAGCCAAATCCTTAAATTGCACACTGCAGTCATTACTCAGCTAATTAGTCATGAGACATTCTATTTTATGAAAAAGCTATTAAAGGAACAGTTTTTTAACATTCTTGAGTGTTTCTTAAAGAAATCAAGGTGAGAAGTATTTAGCTGTAAGAAGTCTGAGTCATTAGGACCTTAAGTTTCTGTGTATTTTTTTCCTGTTAAAATAAAAAATTCAGTGGACTAGTTTGTGAAATTGATTCATGAAAATTATGAAATGCACCAGAAACTGAAGTTATAATTTTCTGGTGCATTTAAAACCTCTCACATCTAGTAAATAAAGCAGATCTCCTAACTTCTTCGTTTTGCATAAAATCTGACTTTAATTATGTTACTTGAAAGAATGTTTAATAGGCTTTTCTGAACAGCTGTAGTTGCAGGTCCATGACATCTGCAGAACAAAGCTTCTGAGAGGCACCTATTTTGGTCTATAGATTTGGGAGCATCAGTCTCCTGCTCCTGAGGAGCTGTAAAAATTAATACAGCTGAAGGGATAGAAGAAGCATCAGGTGGAAGGGGTAGTCTGGGATAAAGCAAGAAGATGAACAGAAAGAGGATTATTTAAGGAGTTGCTGTTCTTGAAATTGGGGCTTTTTGCCTCAGTTATAGATGCAAAGGTTTTATTAGCAGTATCTTGCATAGTTTAACAAACAACCTTCTCTACAATTCAAAAATTGATAAATCAATAGATCAAAAAACCTCCAACCTAACACCAGAACAGAAGCATGGTATCTATATGCATTAACAACTCTATAAGAATATTTTAGGACATTAATTAGTCAGCTACTAAAGGTGTCCTAAAACAGTATTTTGAAAATGCACTTCTTCCCATTTACTAATCCCACATGGGATTATTTACAAAGACTTGGTGGTACACCACAAACTACACTCCCCTAAGTAGAGCTTTTGTAATCCTGCCCAAATCCAGAAGAAACACAAAGACCAGAAACCTCAAAAAGATTTTGTTTAACTGAAGATGCATTTTCTGTGAAATTTCACACTGAAGCTCTGCAATGTAATTAGTAGTTTACAGTTCCTTAAATTGCTGTGTACTTTTGTCTAGGTGCAGTTAGAGTAGTTGCCTGCATTTAGAAAAACAACTGTCTCCCATGACTAGGGGAAAAATTTCTTCAAAGTCAGCACAGCCTGAAGGAAGCTCATGTACAGGAGATGCAAAGTAAAGAGGGGTGGAGGGCCCAAAATCAGTTTGTAAACCTCTTTAAATAGTGCCAATAGGTTATTGGCTAAATGATTTATTGAGAAAACCTCAAGATAGGCTCTTTCTCTGTACAAAATCAAAGCAATAACAAGAGCACTGGCACACCCAGAGACTAGGTGTGTCTTGGCACACCTTGCAGGTGAGCAGACCTACCGTTGACATTCCTTCTTCTATCAGCACCATGGCCCCTGGAGACAGCCTTTTGAGCTGCTAGTCACTGTGCTCTTTACTCAGAGCTATATTTGTACATACAGATATTGGCTCATACAGCAGATTATTCATGTATTAAACTGTCATGATGTTTCAATTTCTTCCAGCTGTTAAAATGAACTGCCAAATTTAAACTGCAGCTCACCAGAGTAATACTCAAAATAGGTAGGAAAATCCCTTCATGCCATTAGCACTGAGTAACATGGCCTTGTTTAACTCATGAAAATACACTAAGAAAAAAGAATTTCACTCTACTCTGTTTCAACCATCTAACACTTTCAATAAACAAAATGTATCCATAATTTCCCCATGGGAATTTACATGGGAAGACAATCTGTAGGCAAAGAAAATAACACATCCATTTGAAGTTATCAGATTTAGTACACAGTATTGATAATAGTACTGTCCTTTTTATGATTTTGGAAAAAATTACCATCTTAGAGTGGAGTTTTGTAATGAACTATAAGGCTTGAAGTAATTACAGGTATCCTAAAATAATTAATAAAGCCATAAGATATGACTACAATAAAAAATGACTACAGATAGGGTATCAAAGTTCATAACCTGACAAATTTTCAGTTAATAAAATATTTATCCTTATATAAAAGCTTTATCTACTTTATAACAGAACTGTACATCAGCAGTGGATGGGGAATTAAACCTAATAAACAAAGCACTTAATGAAGAAAAATAAACCAGCATCTGTTTATGTAGGCCATGACAATCACTGCTTTGCAACACTAAGAAATCAGACAGTAAAGACTGTCACCCAGACCATCCTCTAGCACCCAAACACAAGGAAGTGTTAACTTTGCTTTAGTTTTCTCTCCCAATACATGTCAGTCTGCTGTGCCACTGCAACATTACAGTCCCTCATGGCTAGACCTGGGAGAAGGAACTAAAGTTAAGTTTCAATTTCAAACCAAGATGATTTTCCACAGGTGCAAATAAACAAGAACAACTCAGGATGTGTGTTCATAAATAACTGTTTCTGCATAAACCAGAAGTAACATATTAAGCACCATAATTCAATTTTTCTGTCTGCCCTAGACACCAGTCACTTTTATTCACAGCACTGTGTAAGAGAAGAAGTGATCTGGCAGCTGGCAATCATTTTCTTTGCTTTCCCCATCACCACAGATCGAGCAAAACCGGAGACCAGAGCACAAATGTAGAGTTTAATACTTCTGGATTTATAAGGAAATTGTTCCTCCACCACAGTCAGATGCTCAGACCAGAGTCATCTGATCTCTCCTTACTGGACTATTTTTTAAATTTTTTGGAGGGGAGAAGAAGAGGAAAGATCAAGTCTTTTAAAAAAAAAATATAGCTGTAAGACACAATGGTAGAGAATATGTTTCACTGTCTTGACAGAATCTGGAAAGCTGATTGCTTCACATCACTTTAGCAAGAAAATGCTATACTGGAGCAGAAGACTAAGGGAAAACAAAATTAAATGAAAGAGGTCATAGCTGACTAATTTATGCTGCAAATATTACAAGCCAAAAAAATGAGCATACTAACATAATCATTAGAAACATATATTAAATATTTGTGCTACAATTCCTATGCACAATAACACATACTGATAACACAATATTCATTAATTTATGTACTTAATCATGTTTTATTTATGGTTCTTTCTTTATTTAATCCCTACTGAAGCAAATTTCTATTTTGATCACAGAAAGTGTTGCAAAATATTTTCATTACCACAAATCCATCATCTGCAACAGTGGTGTTAACATTTTGAATGGAGTAGGAATAGATAGAGCTTAGCTCAATAGTTTAAACTTATACCATACCTTGTGAGGCAAAAAACTGAGGTATGTATGTTCACATCACCAGCTAATATTAGTTCAGATCTGCAGATGCATTTACTAGCTCACTGCTTTTCAGCTGTATGACAGCATAACATTATGACTTCTATCTGTACTTTTGCTCTTCAGAAAAAGTGTTTGTTTAAATTGACATGAAGTACAGAAGACCTCTATATGAACACACAGGAGTTTCTTTCCAATACCAAGGATTCTTGCATTTTTGGAAGGGCTTATTAAAGATTAAAAAAAAGCCAAACCTATGACAACAATGCAACCCAAACCCCATCATTGAATGACCAAGTTACTAGACATTTTGTCATTACATTTTAATGTTGGACAAATGAAAAATAAAGTTTGTCTTCAGATCCCTCAAAGTACCCAATGGCAGTATGTACACTATGAAAAATTACCTCTTCTTAAAAATTTATATTGTGTATGACACGGTGAGTTAAGAAAAAGAGTTTCCAGAACAAATCAGGACCTTCTATTTGAAATGAAATGTTAAAAAGAAAATAAAAATAATTTAGAAAAACCCTTCTGTTCTTAAGAAATACACATATGAAAACAATATATTTTCATTTTTGAAGCACCTCAAAAATACAATTCTCTTGTGTGCTTCCAGGAAATATATGAGTTTGACTTCTAAAAATGGCATATAACTTCTGTTATTGGTTATAAAACTTGCTTTTTTTCATCTTCTACCCCTTCAACAAGTGGACAAGGAACTCTGATCCTTACAACTTGATTTTTCATTGACCTCACATGCCAGTGTGTAAGGAGTGTCTCTATTCACTGCTCCATGTAGATTAATGTAAAGATACAAATGTCTAATAGAAGACTTTAAAATAAACCATTTGATGTGACTGTCATTGAAAAGACATGGAGTAGACTGCTTTCCTACAAACACACTGCAGCAGCCCATTCATAAGAAAGTACAGTTCTGCTGAAGATTCTGGGTTTGTTTTTGTTTCTTGCCTACAAGGCTATAAAATCATGTAAGTATACATAGTAATTCTTTAAAATCCTGCTAGAAAATGAGGATTTTTGGAAATGCTCTACTCCATATTTCATTCAATCTTCTAGACAAAACAAAGTGTAAATGACCCTGATAGAAATAGGGAAGAGGGTGATACATTCTCAAATTACTAGACTTGGATGAAGCTGTCTTAAAAAATTACGTAGATGAATAAAAATTGCTTATTAGATGTTGCTGTCTGACATACTAATCACATCTAAACTTGTAAATTGCCCATGAGTCATGCAAATAATATTAGGCTAGTCAGAGGGGTTTCTTTCCAGTTCCAACGAATTTCAGCAAAACTAATATGGAAAATACAATGAATTTCATAAATTGATCACAAATTTACTGCCATTATACATTGTGTACCTCCTATAAGCCCTTCACAGCCTAGATCTTACCACATTCCTCAACAAAACTCCAGCATATCTTTGTATTTTCCAAAATCGTTATACATTACAAGACACTATGATTTCCCCAGCTTCCTAGTGCAAAATTACCACAGAGCAGTAAAATACCAGTTCCAGGTCAACAAATATGAGCAAAAGTACTTGTAAAAAGGGTAATTTTTGTTACCTCATGGTAACAAGATAACAAGCTTTAATTGCAGAAAATTAGTTGCTTCCCTTCTATTGACTTGCTTCACACCTCTCTTCCTCTAAAAATACTCACACAGAACATCACCATGGAGCAGCTGGTGCAGAGTTATCTGTTAGCTCATGATAACTTGTCCCTAATGTTTGCATTCTATATTCTATCTGGCATTTACATCCAATGCTTATTTCAAAACTGACATATCAATCCATCTTATACATATGTTCACATTTTTATGCCATGTGTCAGAGAGTAGGACTTGGAAGTCCTGGAAAAATCAAAATTAAAATAAAATCAGACTACATGTGATACACCAAGTTACCTTTTGTAGCTTGATTACCTTTTTTTAATAACAGAATTTCTCAGCAATAGAAATTTTAAAAATAAACCCATTCATACTTTAGGTATTATATTGCATACAATGTCAAGGAGACAATGTTAAGAAAGAATCTTTTAAAAATCCTGTGTCACGTCACTTAAAATACAACGCAAGCATCACAATTATAAGAACAAAACAAAAATCTTTTGTTGCAGTGTTTGCCTGCTCTTTTTAGAAGGTTTCAGATATTATTATACAGTGACACTTGTGGTCAAAAAGATTTAGAATTGCCAGGAATTGCCTTTTTGATTTTGATCAAAGGATAGAAAACATTCCTGAGTTTTTCCCTTTCTATCCATCATATTTTAAACTCAGATTTTCTGTTTACTATGCACAGAAACAATCTCTCTATACAATGAAAATTACACTTGTTCTTTTTAAGAATGAATTTTTACATATAAAACATGAAGATTGAGGAAGGTTTTGGCTAAAGCTGTTAATCTGTCTAAATATTAAATCATTACATTCTTACCAGCTGCACTTCTCCAAAAGCCCCTCTTCCAATCACCTTAACAACATCGTAGTCTTCAGCTTTCATTTGTAAAGCTCGGATTTTCTCCACAATCTTCTCATCTAAAACAAATCAAACAGAAGTCGTGATAATGCATATATTAGCAGAATACAAGGATTTTAGCTATTAATTTAGTGGAAAAATAAGCTATTTTATTCAAATGTTTAGAAACTTCTTTCTAATTCTTGAAATCTGTACTCACTATTAATATCCCCTTTCATCATTCTTTGGAAACCATTAACCCTCTACCTTTAGCTGTAACTACTGAAATATCTTTCATCTTTTGCTGACTCTCAATTCACACCTCTAATAATCACTCACAGGCTTATGGGAAGACTCTGATAATGAAGAGAGCCAGAGATGCTTATCAGGAATTTTCAATCATTCCTTGCTACCCGCTGCACTCCCAGGGTCCACTGACACTCCACTGTTAGTGCTGAGGTGGAGCACGTGGTGTGCAAGAAGCACTGCAGGTGCAACCTGCTCCTACACACCTGGAGGGTTCAACAGCACTCACAAGGCGAGGAATGTGACTGGGTGACCTTCATGTACTGGAGATTACACAAACATCTGGCACATCCACTCATCCATTCCATACGAAACATTGATTAAGTTTATATGTCTGTAACTGCTGGCCATCTCAAAGTGCTTTTTTTGGTATTCACCACATGTGTAGTTCTACACTTCTTAAAATGATGTCTATAATGCTCTGTTCAGCATTCTGCAGATAAGCACTGCCTGTCAGTATGTGTCTTACTGGCAGTTGTAAGAATCTGTAAAAGGGAAAACAGTGAAATTCTCATTTCTGACAAGTTCTAAAAACACACAAGGTCCTAGACTCTTTAATTTTGTAAATGAAACATGCTATGAATGTGTTCCTAGCTAAACACATTTTTAAAATCTATTCTTATTACAAGAACAAAAGATAATGGAATTGGTGAATGGAATCCATAATACTAGAGGTAATCTGAGGCATGACAAGCCCCTACACATGCTTAGAGGAAGAACAAAAAGCAAAACAGGTGGCTGAAGCAAGAACTCTACCAGGAAAGAGCATGAAATTGTATGAAAGGCTGTGGATGCTTATATTCAGAGAGGGGTAGAGGTTTATATTGTGAGAGCCCTGTTTAGGGACAAATACCATGGAATTTTAACCCTAGAAAGGCATTAAAGAGGATGTCAGATCTGAATACAGGGAAAAAAAGAATCAGAAATACAGTTAATCCAGTATGACATTAAAGATGACATGGTCTAAGGGAGTTAATGATAAGAACATCTAGTAAATAGCTTAACCATTCCTACATAGTCATGAAGAGCAGCTTGGCAGGCTACAAGCAATCCAGGAGATGCCTGACCATCACTTCTTTTCTTCCGAACAAGCAATAAGCCAAAACAGGGAGGCACTCTGATTTATTATTCACAAACAAGAATGAACTGGCTCAAGAAGACAAAGTCTGTGGCAGACTTGGCAAAAGAAACTGTGAGATGGTGGAATTTAAAACTCGAACAGACCTGAAGTAGGAAAATAGCAGACTTTGGACTTCAGGAGAACAGACTGTGGCTTGTTTAGAAAACTTGGTGGCAGGATCCTGTGAAAAGCTGCTGTGAAGGGCAGAGGAGTGGGCTGATCTTCAGAGATGACATGTTCATAGCACAAGAACAGTCTGTTCTGGCTAGCTAGAAATTGAGCAGGAATGTCAAGGAGCCAGTCCACCTAAATGGACAACCTCTGCCTCAACTCAAGCACAAAAGGTAAAGGTTTGGAACATGGACACTGAGTTGGGTTACCCAGCAGGAACCTCTCAAACAAGAAAAGATGGAATTGGGAAAGCCAGGATCAGCTGGAACTGAAACTAGCCAGGATTATATTAAGAGAAAAAAGAGACACTATAAATACAGTGGCAGAAAGAACGAGGCAAATATGGTCCCACTGCTCTCAGTGAGGGAGGTGATCTAGTACCAGGGACCTGGAGAAGATCAAGGTGGTCAATGCCTTTTTTGCTTCACTTCACCCTCAAGCCCTGCTCAGAGGCCTCCCAGCTCCTTGAAGCCAATAGCAGTGTGGGGCAGCACAATATCATAGTAGAGGAAGTTATGAGGTAAAGACCAGCAAAGCAGACTTGGCATATACCAGGTCTTGAGACAATAGAGGATGGATCCAAGTGGCCTGAAAAATCCAATCAAAACCATTACCAGGCTGTTCTCTATCACCTTTGAAAGGTCATGGCAACTTGGAAATGTGATAAAGTGCAAATGTCATGTCCATGTTCTAAAAAGGCAGCAAGGAGGCTACAGGGTGGAACAGCAGCCTGACCACACTGCCCAAGATGATCATGGAATAAAATCCTTCAGGTATCCACTTCCAAGCACATGATGCCCATGGAAGGATAGGAACAGCCAGAATAGATCTAAAAAAGACAAATTGTGCTTGACTAACCTGATTTCCTTCAATGACAATATGTCTGTCTTGGTGGACAAGAGGAAAGCAGTATATTTCCTTGGCTGTTGCATGACTTCCAACACAGCATCTCAAATTATCTTTGTAGCCAAACCAGGCTGACATGGATTGCACAGATGAATTACCAGGCAAGTGGAAAACTTGCTGGAGTCACAGCCAGTGGTTTTAAGTTCAAAGCTGATACACTGGAGGGCAGGGTGGCTTCTATGGGTTACCCAGACAGGATGAGTAATGAACTGACAGGAAGTTCACAGTTCAACAACAGCAAGTACAGAGTCCTGTAGCTGGGATGGAACAGCACCACACAATAGAATAGGATGCACACACCAGCTAGAAAGCACCATGAGAAAGAGGGCCTGACAGCCCTGATGGATAACAAGCCAAGCAGAGAGGAATGAGTCTTTGCAGTGACTCTGCAAGTATGTGTTGGTAAATGTACAGCCAGTAGGTTGAGGGAAGTAGACTTCCTCCTGTAATTTGTCAAACCATATATGGAATATTATGACTAACTTTGGGGTCCTCAGTGCACCAAAAGTACTAGATATTCCCTAGCTTCATGGAAGACCACCAAGATGCTCACATGATGCTCAAGAGAAGCTGAGAGAACTGGAATTGTTCACGTTAGGGATGGATAAATGGTAGGCCTCAACAGAAGTTGAAATAAGGTTTAACTTCTAAAGGGTACAAAGTGAAAGGACAAGAGTCACCAGACAAAATGAAATACCAGAAATCCTATTTTGTAAGAAAAAAATAATAAGAACTGGACAAAGGTGCAGACTGTCGAGAGGAATTGAAAAACCTCCATATTTGGAAATTCTCAAAATTCAACTGCACAAGAACCTGAACAATCTGATATAACATCAAAACTGGTTTGACTTTGAGCAGAGAGTTGGACCAGCTGCCCTCCAGAGATCCTTCCTAACCTGTAGAACACAAAAACATAACTGTAAGTTTCTTCTTCTGAGGAAAAGACAGGGAAGGGGAGAGATTATTGTTACAATGAGGGAATGGTCTGCTAGTAAAGTTGTAAGGACAGAAGCAATTAAAATCTTCAAAAGTAAACAAATCTGCTACATTCAGTGAGTGTACTAATATGACTGAAGTAATTCCTGTGTCAACAAGAAGAGGAGTTGAGAGAATTGTGATGTTGTTTCTATACTGAATCATGAAAGCCTAGATCAAAAGCATAGGAAAGAAACAATGTTTCACCCACACCAAGTTTATAATTTTTGTTAATAATATGAATTAATTTTGCAGATTGTGAAGAGAATGCTGTGTTTGGAAGTTAACTGCAGATCACAAGCCCTGGCAGTAGACAAGGAGGATAAATACAAATTCACAGGAAGCAGCAGTAGAGAAAGAATATCAGCAAACTTCAAGTTACAGAGAATGAGCAGTTACACGTTTGAATACAATGTTACACATCTCATGAGACATAGGAATGACATGAGTTTATTTTAAATGTTTCTGACATGTTTCAATGTTTGCAAATATGTGAAATGAGCAGGGATCTATACACATTGAAAAAGTAGTGCCTAGTTGTACGCAACTCAATTTCTGAGAAGAAATTCACAGGAATACTTCTGTAGAAGGTAGAAACTATAAACAAAGTTACTACAGCTCCAGTGAAACTCATCAAGTATTAAATAATGCAAACAAGCAAGGAAAACCCCAAAAATATATGAAACAACCAACTGAGGAGTTACTAGTTTTATCATCCCTGCAAAATGCTGAGAATGGAGAAATCCTACTTGCTTTATGAAAGCAATAGAATAGAATAGAACAGAACAGAATAGAATAGAATAGAACAGAACAGACTATAGACTTTTCAGTTCAAAGGGACCCACAGTGACCATCACTGCAATTGTCTGACTATTTCAGGGTTGACCAACAGGTAAACATTGTCAAATGCCTCTTAAACACTGACAGGCTCAGGGCATTGACTGTCTCTCAAGGAAGCCTGTTCCAGTGTTTGACCACCCTCACATGATGTCTTGTCTGAATCTCCCCTGGTGCAGCTTTGGACCATTCCCATATGTCTTGTCACTGCATCCCAGAAAGAAGAGCTCAGGACCTCCCTCTCCACTTTCCCCCTCTTTAGAGAACAATGAGGTCACTCCTCCTAACTCCTTTAACTAAAATTTAATAATCTCAGTTAATAATAATACCACATAGGAATGCAAGTGTTGCAAAGGTATCAGTTACACAGATGGATTGTCTATTTTGGCATAAAATCTTACAGTTATGGACCAGATAATCAATGCATGAAACAAAAAACTGGGGTGCAAGAAGGCAAGCTTAGATTAACCCTGAAACCACATCATCATTGCAACATACTGGATCGTAAGATTTAGCTCACGTATCACATAACATGATCTAATACAGGGTGCAGGAGACCCTTCCAAGAGCAGTCTTCTTATAATGGTCTGAATTTTCAGATTTCACACACATGAGTTTGAAAATTTTGATATCTGTATGCACATGTCTCATGAATTTGCAACAACATAAAGCCCAGCAGAAGAAAAATGTCATATTTAAAGGAAGGTATTAGATGGACTCCCCAGCCCTAGGACACAATGGAATCTTATAGGAATATTGTGACAT